AATTTTGATGTTCTTCGTGTGGTTTTGTTGAAGCCTCATTAGGCTTGGGTTTATTTGGTTCTTCAGGAGAATCTCGTAACTTTCTAGCTTCCGACACCGCAGACAATTTATCTTTGTCATTGATCATCACATGTTTTCTGCACTCAGAACACTTAGATTTTCCAGAACATTTCGAACAATGTGATAAATTAGTACGTTGCGATAAATTTTCCACATACAGTTGCTCAGATACACTTGAATGAGACATTTTATCCAACGTCACCGATTTGTTGGATGACATTTCAGAAACCACCGACAATCTTTCTGTGACGTCAATCAAATGTTTATTACAATACGAACATTTGGATTTGTTTACACATCTTAAGCAAGGCGGTTTCTGTATTTGAATATTGTCAGACTTTTTAGAAATATTAGACTTGGTAGCTAAACGTTTTTGGTAATTCTCGAATTTCTGTTTGCACGCTGAGCATCTGGTGCGATTCGAACATTTAGAACATTGTGGAAGAATTGTGTGTTCGAAAAGTTGACGCTCTTTGTCGTCGATTTTGGCTTCATAAATAACATCTTCAGATTCGGAAACAAATTCTTGCGTTTTCTGAAGACATGAGGAGCATTTTGATGTGGATGTGCATTTAGGACACCTCGGAGTTTCTGCGCCTGATGGCGTTGATTCAGCAGATACTTTTGAAGAGTCTGATAATAAATAATTGGACAGCTTGTCTACCGTTTTTGCTAAACATAAAGAACATTTTGAATCATCAGTGCAGTACGGACATCGTCTAAATTTACGATGCGGTTGTGGTTCAGGAAAGTTTGTGATTGGAGTAGGTATTTGATTAGTTGTTTTGGGTGCACAAACGGAACACATTGACTTGTCAGTGCAATTTGGACATTTAAATTTGTGATGATGATCTATATTGGTTTTAGGATTATGTAAATCGGAATGCTCTGAAGTACATATAGAACACTTTTTATCTTTGGTACAATATGGACAACTAGGTGTATCTTCAACGTCATTAGTATGTTTACCATATTTCTGTGCACAAACAGAGCACGGTATATTTTCGGAGCAATATGGGCATGGTAAATACTCCTTGTGTTGGTGTACAGACTTTTGTTGGCTAGATTTACTAGAATGTTTTTTCAAACACGAAGAACACTTAGTAGTTTTAGTACAATATGGACAACTAGGTGTATCTTCAACGTCATCAGTGTGTTTATCATATTTCGGTGCACAAATAGAGCACGGTGTATTTTCACAGCAATATGGACATGGTAAATACTCCTTATATTGGTGTACAGACTTTTGTTGACTAGATTTACTAGAATGTCTTGAATGCTTTCTCAAACACGCACAACACTTTGTATCTTTTGTACAATTTGCACATTGACTTCTTGAATCAAGTTTTGCAATATCAGTATCGCATACCAATTTCAGAAAATTCTCAGAAATTCTTGATCTGTGAGAAGACTTAGATGATTTTGGTAGAACCTCATAATTTTTTTCTTTGCATGCGTTACATTTAGTTTTGCTGGTGCAATTTGGACAACCTCTCTTCTGTTTAGGAGAACTCCGTTTGCTCTTGGACACATCAGAAGTTTTAGATTTATTTGAAAGTCGTTCCTTTTCTTCAAATTTACGTTGACAAGTATAACATCTTGTTTTATCCGTACAATCAGGACATGTGTTTTGAATATATTGGGTTTCAGAATAATTACTACCATCGTATATGATGTTGTTCAAGATTTTGGAAATTTCAGTTCTGTCTGATGTATTTGATACTTTATCAGGACTGTTTTTAGAATTGCGTTTGCACAAGTTGCACATGGAGTCTTTGGGGCAGTTTGGACAACGAGGAGATTTATTTTTACACGAATCACATTTGGTAGTTTTTGTACATTTTGGACAACTTGTAGATGTTTCATCAGGTTTAGGTTTTTTATCACAAATGGTATCTTTTACACCGTGTTTGTGTTTCTTGTTTTGTTTGCAAGAGTCACATTTTGATTGTTCAGTACAGTTTGGACATACTGGTACACGTATTTTACATCTTTCATGTCTTCGTCTCATTTTAGCCAACAGTAACTCTTTCTGCTTATCTGAAATTACTTTGGAACATGCTCTACACTTTAATTTTCCATGGCACTTAAGACATTTCACATGATTCTTTACATCGTCAGTTCTTTTTGATTTACGAGGCAGATAACTATTTTTCAGACAGTTGCAGCTGGGTGTGCAGTTTTTACATATTGATTTTAGGTTTTGTTTAGGGGTTTCCAGTTTGACTTCACTGTTTGATTTTGTTGATGACGTGAAAGAACTTTTTTCACTACTAAGTTTGCTTACAAATACTGGTGAATGTTTTGTTGTACATTTAGAACACGTGCATAAATTACCAGAAAAACTTAAGGCTTGCATATTGCTCGTTTTACTAACATTAGAGTCTTTGGACATTTTGCTTACGCTGGATGGAATTTCTGTTGTAACTTGGGAATCATCTTGCAAAGAGCTTGACGGATTCACAGATACAATTTGTGGTTCAGGTTCTCGTTGTTTAATGCACTTACTACATTTGCAATTGTCACAACAACCAAAACGTTTAGGAGCCTTTATGGTTATAATTTTTTTATCATAAGTCATCATTTTACAATTGTGACAGTTGCATCTTGCAAGACTGTCACAAGGGGTTCCGCCACTTTTAGAACGCTTAAAAGTTATGTCACTGCTTACCACGCTTTCCAAATTATCCAGCATTTTTGTTTTATTTTTGACTTGTTTATTTTTACAAGACGCACATTTAGATTTATTAGTGCATTTCCAGCAATGATCATGAAAATCGTATAAAGGAATATATTCTTGCTGTTGGTTGCCCTCACATACGATGTTTCTGAAATTTTCAGTAATTTTGGACTTGGTATAAGTTCTGAAAGTACCATCGGAAGAATACGGACGTTTGGATTTTGATTTCTTGGATTTTTTGGACTGACAGGACGTGTTTGAATGTGTTGTCTGATTCTTCTTATGGCCACAAGGCTTTCTATGAGGACTTCTGGATTTAATAGAATTCCTAGAGGAATTTCTACTTCTGCTCCTCAGATCTTTGCTCGAGTTTACATTGTAGCACTTCAAAGTTCTTCTATAGGTTGGACAATTCACGTACACACAACATTTGGAATTTTTTGCACAAATAGAACTCATTGATTGAAGCGAACCACATGCAAGGTAACTTCGACGGCAAGTTGGGCATTTTTGATAATTCATTTTCGAACCAGCTGATTTAATTCTTCTAGGTTTTATTGGTGAATTTTTTTGGTACACTTCATACTGTTTGTTATTGGAGGCGATGAATATATTTCTTCCGGAACTTGCCCTACTGGGCATCTCCGATGTGGAATATCCTGATGTTGCTTGAGATTTACCAGAAAGTGGGGAATATAAAGAAGTCTGCTCCTGTTTGTCTCGTCCGTCTTGGAAACTTATTCTAGATCTTTTGGGGGTGTTATTAAAAGATATAGCAGCGAGCTGTTTTTCATGAGAATAGCTTTTTCGGGGAGATTTTACGTTGAAGATTGGTTCGGAACCGCTGGTGTAGGCGTTGGAGGTATTGCATGTCGCTGAGATTTTTTCCAACTTATCATCGCATTGATGATGTTCTAGACTTTGACATCTTTTGCAGGGATGACCTTTTAGTTCACCGCATCTAAAATAATTTAGAATCATTGTATATTAAACAAAGAATAGACTGCTGAAGCTTTGCATCAACCAGGTTACAGAAGAAATAGTATACATTAACATAAAATATTTCTACCTTGTGATTTTAACAAGTTTCAATGGTTTTCCACTTTTTGTTCCATAGCTTGACGATAATTTGTGTAAAACTGTTATTCCACAGATGACACGTCCGAAAGCCACAGATCGTCCATCCAACTCCGGCATGGCCTTCAGGGTTATCAGAAATTGGGAATCGGCCCTGCCTTCCATCGTCACTATGCCTAAAATATAATAGATCGAATAATATAATATTGTGGAATATATTTTGGTTAAAAGTTTATTTATTATAATTTTACCCCCTGAATCGTGACACATGAGATAGTTTTCAGCATCGTTGAAGATGACTTTATTTCTATCATATCCTGGTAACGTCGCTTTGGTGATTCCTCCTTCTATGCAAACGCCCTGTTTTATCCTTAAAAAACAGCCAAAATTGATAAATCACATGTATTATTTTTTATACATTATTTTTACCTATGAATGGCCGTTCCTTCGTAAGATAATCCACATGCATGAGTTTTGTTACAAATTCGCAAAAAGTTCAAAACCGTGTGCGGACATATTTTTGCGTATAACTCCAAAATCAATCTCCCTATATGGGTTCCATCTGTCAGGCATAAATCCAGGAAACATCTAAAGGAGGAAATAAAATTATGAAGATTCTGCTGAATAAAAATTTGATTTTTTTCTAATTACCTTGGAAATGGATTGTGTTTCAATGCAACCAAATCTGTGCAGTACGGAATTGTGCTTTTGGTTGGCCCTTTGTTTATTCTTCGCCACCACGAATTTATTATACGATGGTCGTCTGTAGGATGAGGTCTCTGGGAAATAAAGTTAAATGATTAATTTTCAGGACGCGAACTCAGGAAAATTCTTTTTGTTTCTTGAAAGAAATTGTTTATTATTTTTTATAATTTTACCGCCCATAGTATCTTGTCTCTCAATATGATGTTGTTTGCCTGCAGGGTGAAAGCAGATTCGCATGTTCCAATATTATTTAAACGGTTGTAATTTGGGTGGCATTTTGGAGATTTTTTCATCTGAAATCAGAAACTATAATTTTTAGGAATCATCTAACCACTCCCTTCTTCCTCCTAAATTCACTAAAAATTTAACAACTGTGTATTAACTATCTTCCATTACAAATTTTGTATATTTTATCGTATTTTAACTGAAAATTTTCAACTTTTGACATCCATCATCCGAAAATCGCGGTCAGCCGAAAATGACAAATGAAAATGTGACGTCGTCTGTCAGATCGTTGTAAAAATTACACACAAGAAAAATTAAAAATTTTCAGTGAAATTTAAAAAAATTAAATGGACAAATTTAATTGATATTTTATTGTGATTGTTGTTTCAGAAATATGTGGAATTATGAAAATTATTTTTGATTGTGCTTCGATAGTTATTAAGGGAAAGAAAAAGATTTTGTTCCGGAGAAGGTGGATACAGGTGGCATAGATGCTTTTACGATATGGTGGGTAAAAAATACGATTTATTATAATTGGATATCTTTCAACTCATTATTACCTAAAGGTAGAAAGGTATTTTTATGCTTTTACTCTTTTATTTTTGGAATTAAGAAATGTTTCATTGCCTGCTGGAATAAAGTTAACAAATAACTAGTGGTGTATGGCATCGTGCCTTTAGGCATATTGCTGGAACTTCCCGCACCGTAATGAAATATTCGAGAAATGTTAAACGTTTTCAAATATATTATTAAAAATACTGTAACTTTCATTATTTTTGCTATCTTGTTATATCTGAGCAAATCAAATGTAAATCATATATCAATTTATCTCCAGAACATTAACAATCGTCATTTCATTTCGAATTCAATTTCAAAAAAAAATAGTTGCCTAATTTTTACACAAAATTGAAAAAGTGAAAAAGTATAGTCACAGTCTAAACGCATTTGCAAATAATTCTGTGCGACATTTTCACTTATACTGTGCTTAGCTTAGCGGTATTTTCACATTTTTCAATAGTTTTCACAAAATTAAATAAATAAACAGTCTATACGCACTTGGGTAAACATTTGTATCAGACTGTGCTCAGCCTGGGTATTTTTTTGAATTTTTATACCAAAATTACAAAAATATTTTATGAAAAATAAAAGAAGATGTAATATTTTTTTATCTTCAAAAGCAATTGTTTTTTCAATACAAGCAGAAAGTTCTTTAGATCATTCGAAACGGACGCTTAGTTCACTCAAAAACTGCAATTTTTTGCACATTCAGCTCTGTATCTTCGAAATTGTGGGACCTGTCTTTGCGAAAAATTAATCACCTCTTTTCCCAATCATTACAAATTGAATGTTTTTTAGATCATTCAAATTAGATACTGCGTTCTCTCAAAAACTCGATATGTATTTTCTGCACTCTTTGCTCCGTATCTCCGTAACGGCTGGACCTGCTTTTGCCAAAAACTAATCAGCACATCTCCCTATCAATAGGGATCGAATGTTTTTTTAACCATTCAAATCGGTTGATCGGTGCGTCCGAAAACGAAAATTTCGTGGACACACGAAACATACACACACACACCATTTTTTCTGAGGTATGCCAAAATGTTCAGAAACCTTCAAATCGTCGAGAAATGCAAAAATTTTCATTTTCGATTTTCCGTCTATTACTAAAACTACCCAACGGGAAGTTAACAACAATAATTGGCTGAAGGAAAACCACTGAAATTGGCACAAAGAAAACTTTCAGTAAATTCGATAATAAATAATTTTTCGTGCAAAATTGTTATTATTAACTTCCCGTAGGGTGTTATTGTAATGGGCCAAAAATCGGAATTGAAAATTTTTACATTTCTCGACGTTTTGAAGGTTTCTGAACATTTTGGCATACCTCAGAAAAAATGGATGTGTGTGTGTATGTATGTATGGATACAAATTTCCAGTCACGTTTTCGGGCGCACGGATCAACCGATTTGAATGGTTCAAAAAACATTCGATTCCTATTCATAAGGAAAAGAGCTGATTAGTTTTTGGCAAAGGCAGGTCCAGCCGTTACGGAGATACGGAGCAAAGACCGGAGAAAATAGAAATCGAGTTTTTGAGAGAACGGAGCATCCGATTTGAATGATCTAAAAACATTTAATTAGTTTAAATTTAAGTTTTTCTTATATATCGAATTAGTTAAAAATTTAAGTTTTTCTTATATATCGAAAGTAATTCAGATTTTATTTTTATTCTGACTAAAGTTCTAATATAACTTAAACAAATAATTTCAACTCTGCAATTCAGTTTATATAATTCTTATAAATATTAGACAATGTTACAATATTTATAATAATCTATTTGAAAACATTCAGTATTCTTCGAACATTTCGTTACGGTACGGGAAGTTCCAGCAATTTGCCTTAAGGCACGATGCCACCCACCCCACTAGTTTCTAGTTTATTTTATATTTCTAGTTAAAACTAAATCCGGACCGGAGCGAAAGTTCCGTACGATCGTCTTCCAACACTTCTTTGCCATCAAGTAGATCGCCAAGGGTGAGTAGAACATTTATTTATTTTTTGGCAAAATTTTATATATTTTGAATCTATTTTTACCCAGCACCGACGATGTTCCTCCACCGGCCTAATACCACGTTCCCACATTCCGTCCCTCGACCTTTCGCACTCCGTGTCGAACACTTCAGCCAGCTTTTGTGGTGCTTCGCCATCCAGAGAGCAGCAACGCCATCGACAGCAGGCAGTCGTCGTCTCCGATTACAGGCTGCAGCAGCAGAGCAGACAGCGCCAACTGCAGATGGAGATGCAAAGACAACAGCAACAGCAGTTTGAGATGGAGAGAGAGCTGGAGCAGCAAAGGCTGCTGAGGCAACAGCAACTGGAGACTGAGATAGCTGAACGAGATAGGCTGATGGTAATTGATAGATAGAATAGGTGGTAATATGATTTTTGTTATTGTTATTGGTTTTAGAGGGATCAGCAGTTGGAGCAACGTTTGGTTCCAAGGTTGCCATCTCAGCATAATTTGCCGCTCGAAGTGGAAGCACTGCAGTTTGATTTGAGAGATGTACAAAGACAGGTGAGCATTTATATAAAAATATGGATATAAATACCAAACAAAATAAAAATTTTGCGTGTTCTAAATGATATTGAATTCTTTTATCCAGGTGACTGAAAGGGACGAGCGCGTATCTCTGCTGCTGCAGCAGCTGACAGCATTGGAGCAAGACTGTGCTCGTGATATTGATATCTCGGTTGCAAAACACGAGCGCTCCAAACGGCAGGTGAAGCGCCTCAAGCGACTCTGCAGCAAGGTGCTTGATGGCACACTTGTATTATCATTAATACTATCATAATCATTAGAATAATAGGAGCTCTCTAAAAGTTCACGACTAACGAGATTTTTTTAAAATATTTACTTTGAATGTATTTAATAATTGAGTTCGAAATCAGGCGACTGGTTTATTCTGGTTTATTGACAATATTTCAGTTTTCTTATTGGTACATGTGTAGTTGTTCCTTAATTTAATATTTATCATTAATTATTGCATATATTTCTAGTACGAGCAGGCCCTAGGCGTTGCCAAAAAAACCAGTTCGTTGTCATCTCAATCCGATTCGAATCCAAGCAGAAGTGACGTCGTGGTCAATGATGTCAACATCCAACAGCCGCCTAATGTGGTTTCTGATAAGGAACTGAAGCAGGAGACTGAACGATGGAAGCAGCAGTAAGTTAGATCGAAAATAATAACTAGGTGTAAGGTAAAAAGGATAAACATAAGGATCTCTATCCCATTATCTTACCAGGTTTGAAGAAGTTTGCACACGCATGTTCAGCATGGAGCAAGAGACGGAGGAACTGCGCAAGGCGCTCAAACTCGGAGGCGTCCCTTTACCTCCAGCAAATTCTTTAGTAATGGGGTCAGATATTAAACAACCGACTGAGATATCTCCTCCAGTTTGCTCCGAACCCAGTTGCTGTCTTTACTGCAGTGAAGGCGATGCTGGAGGAGAGGGTTGCACGTGCGGGATGGCGCTAAAGTAAGTGTAAAGTTTGGATTATTATTAATTTTTTTAACTTAATTTTTTTGGTTAATCGTACAGGGTTGATATCTCTCAATTTTTATTATTTTGAATCGGTTTCCATGTTTTAAAAATATACATATTATGCAGCAGGATGAGTGTCCATCAGCTTAGTGCAGAAGAACCTCCAAGACCTTCCGTTTTCCTGCAGAAGAGCAAGCTAAACCTGAATTCGAATGATTTAGATCAGGTAAGTACGAATCATTTTTATCCAATACCTGCATTAGGATTTAATCATCTCGGTTTAAACGAAATATAACCTTGTTGTTTGTGTTATAAGATAAAAAAAATGATTAAATTTTTTCTGTATCTTCTTGCTTCTTCAAGCCTTCGTCATCAATTCTTTCCTCGACTGCACCCATGCACAGCCTGCAGCAGAAATCCTCCTGCGACAGCAACGTCACAACAGTGCCAGAAGACACTTTGGCAAAACGTTTGATGAAAGCTTCAAATGTGCTCAACAACGAAGTCAAACCGGGATTGGAAAGTTGCTACACTTTGCAAACCGATATTGACGAGGACGATGATAGTGAATTTCAGGTATTAATACATAGTTTATAATCGATATAAATATTTTTACTACTGCTTTTTATCGTGTCCAGTTGAAATTATCAGAAGTTATGGACAACGACCTGAACCGCCACATGCGCAATACTGTCGAAAATATGATTGAGCAGGCAGTGCGAGGATCAGAGCAGGAAGTGGCAGCAACTGATCTTGCTGCAGGTCAAGGGAAGCAGCAAGCATTGTGCACCACTGAGCAATTGCTGCAGGAGGCTGTTAATGTCGTCAATTCTGCTGAACGGTGGCGTTTGAACAATGTTAATAGTAAGTAATTGATAAGATCTGGCTTTCTTATCTAATTTCTAGCTTAACGTAAGATGAAGTAATGATAACAAAAGATGTCCAATGTTTCATTTTTTCCTTACTGATGTACTCTTTTTGTGTTTTAGATGCTAGTAACCTCGATATTCTAAAATGCCAATTGCAAAATGCCAAAAGTGAAGCTTCCAATACTCAAACTCAGCTCAAGCACAAAATCCGAGAACTCGAAGACGATGTGAAGCGATACAGGAACTTGAGTCCTGCCAATAGTGGCACTGTCGCCGTCTGCACTGGACAAGTAAAACAAACCACATTTTGTAATTCTATCGTTTTGGTATATTTTTTCATTTTATTGTCCAGGAGTTGTGTCTATGGGATCCCCAACAACTGTTCATGCTTTCGAAGCCTTCAGCAGGCGACTGCTCTGCAACTCTCCTCGAACAAATCGAGGACGAAGAAGAAGACCTGGAAGTGCAGGTTATTGATCCTGAACTTCGCAGTGAAGTGGCGCAGGCTAACGAGGAATTGAGGGACAGGATGAGGGATTTGGAGCAGATGCTCCTACGCTTTGGGTCGCAGCAGCAACTGTTGAGCAGTGGAGGCAGTACTGCGTGCTCGTTACTACTGGAGATGTTGGGACAGGTCAATTAGAACTACGAGTACTTTCTACTTGTTCACTAGATTTTTTTCCTATTGATGTTTAGTATTATAATTTTATTAGGAAGTCAGTCAATTGAAGCAGGCAGCAAGTCGCGCATCCATGTCCTCCGGTACTACTGCACTGCGTTTGCAAGCAGCATTGCTTCATGAAAGGCGAATCTCGAAGGCGCGCAAGGATGCACTCGGAGCTAAAGACAAGGAAGTGGAAGCTTGCCATGGTGAATTGCAAGATCTTACAAAGTAATATTCAATTATCATATAAATCTATCGTTTGCGGGAAATATAATGAATTTTTAATCGTTGCAGACATATGGCAAGTCTATCTCATGATCTGAGCAAGTTGTCTGGAAGAATGAAGATGCAGAAGACGGAATCGATGATGCATAAAGAAAATGCTGACGAACTGCAGAGGTAAATAGTAAAGGACTGAAATACAACTAAAAAATAAACTAAATAAACAGTTTATCAGTATCAGTTGGATTTTACTTGTTTTTAAACATAAATTACATTTGGTAAATTTCTGATAATTTGTTAATTTCATGAACTGAATCAATGTTTATTTCCAAGAATTGCGGTAATCAATTTTTGGAAAATGTCGACAATTTTCAAACATTCAGGAAGGTGTCCATTGGTATAGATCTGCCTGATTATTACTAGTTATTTGGGAGAATTTCGTTTTTTTTTTGCCGGTGTATCCAAATCTTCCCCAAAAATTAAAACATGAATATATATTTTTTCAGAGCTTTACGTCACAAGACAAACGCAATGGAGCACAAAGACGATGAAATCAGAATTTTGCGCGAAAAGTTGGACGATGCAACTGTGACGAATGCGAAAACCAGGTGAATAAGCAGTTTGAGTTGTTACATGAAAAAAAATCGAAAACATTTTTTTTTCTCTAGGTCTGAGTTGCTCCGCCTGCAGCAAGAGACTGACGGCTGGGATCTGCGTCGAAATGAGTTGGAACGCGATTTGGAGGCGACCAGAAATGAACTAAGCGAAGAACGTTCGTTGCGCAGGAGGGAGCAGGAGTTTCGGGAATCGGCAAGAACGGAAACTGCCGAATTGGAATACGAAAGAGATCGTTTGGTTGATGAGTTGCAGAGTGCGCGGTTGAAAATCGGTAAGGAAATAGAAAATTAGAAGTAACAAATCAATGGTTAAGGGGGTATTCTAGTTTTAAGTCATTTTTAAAGTGTAGTAAAAGAAAGCAATCAATTTTTATACTATCCATTTTTTCACCACTTGTTTATTATTATTATTAAAATACAACATAAAAATTTAAAAAGAAAAAATTGAAAATTGAAGAAACTGGCAGTTGATGAAGTGGGGGGTCTCAAAAAATTGGCACCTCAGTTTTGACATGATTTCAGCCCTCTTAGCCATCCGAAATAAAAGAAATAAAAAGATTGTTAATCTACAATGATGTCGCAATCGTCCGAACTAGCGATGAGTAAAAAAATTTTTTTTACAAATTGGTGACTGTTTGAAAAAAGTGTCTTTTTTACTGTTTTATTGAGTATCTCGAGTTTTTTAAATATAGTAACAATTGAAATTTGCGATGATGCTAGTTTGAGCTACAGATAGGTCTATAAACAAGACTCTCTGAACATTTCAAATGCATCGGTCGAGTAGAACTTGAGAAATCGTGTCTACAGTACTGAAAAAGTCTGTTCTGAGAAAAACGCATTTAAAGTTTTGCGTGAAGTTTTTTGCTGTTAAAGTCAGAAAATGATATGTTATACTTTTTTTTATTTAATGAGCCATTCCTGCTTTATACATATGACCTTTTTCTACAACAAAAAAAACTATTTTATGCATTTCTCTCTTCCAATGGAGCAGTTCTAGCCTCCTTTGAAGCGTTGGATGTACGTATTTCAGATCGTTCAATTCGGGCGATGTCTCATCTTACAGCAAATGAATGAGTTTGTGGCCCAATTAGAATTGCCATAATGGTCATCGTTTTTAAAATCAGAAAGAAACCTTCATTGAATATGCAAACAGCAATAAATATTGCTATTTCAATTACCCGAGATCGGGAATGAATATATTTCGGCGCGAAAATCCATATCAACGAGTTGAGTGATTCATTATTGTTCTTAGTTTCTGAACTTATACATCGAATTAATAATTCATCTGACGATAAACTGTCATAAATTGGTCTAATGAATTCCTAATGCTTTTTGTCCGATTAGACCCTGCCAAACCAGATTGGAGACCGAGTCAGTAAAATGCCTATATCTCCGAAAATAATTCAAATTTTCAAAACCTTCTCGTATTCTTAGATAGTTAAACTTTGAATATATGAAACAAAAAAATATATTTTTTTAATTTCTACACCAGAATACCTCCTTAATATTTTTTCGTTTCAAGGCGAATTGTCTGAGGAATCGCATAAACTCAGGGAACTTTTGCGTAGTAATGAAGCTGCTTTCACGGAGCAGAATTATGAACTTCAGGATTTGAAAAGACGGGAAGCCGAGGCCAGCAGAGAAGCCCATTCGCTCAGGTAATTTTGTATATGATAATATACAAATTCCTCTTTCCCTTCTCTAGTTTCTCACAAATCATATTAATTATAATTTTCAATATTTAAATATTAACGCATATATTATTTCCTAGGTGCGATCTCCGTGCAGCAGAAACCGACGCCTGCGCCAAAAGTGCCGAAGTGGACGAGCTACTTGGTCAGCGCGAACGTTTGGAGGCGGTCTGCGCCAAACAGCGCGACCGTATGCGTCAACTTGCTGGTGAATTGGCTGCTGCTTACGATAGAAGTGGACATGGGGTTTCTGGAAGTGTTGGTGGTCATGGGGTTTCTGGAGGTGTTGGTGGAAATGGAGCAGGATTACAAACTGGTGGTGGACCAGCGATGGCGTTATTGGGAAATAATACAAGTGGCGGTGGTGTTGAAGGCGGGGATGCTAATAGTGCTGAATGCGAAAGGTATGTGGAAATATGAGGGCGTTTAAGCATTGTTAGGAACAAATAATTGTTTTTATCAGGTGCGCCATTCAGCAGTCGCGCACAGCCGAAATATCAAAGCTCCTGGATAAATTGACCTACGAGAATGCAGAGTTAAGGCGGATGCTTGATTCACTAGCGCGGGAAATGGCGGACAATATCTTGCCTAAAATCACTGCAAGCGGCCTTGTTCATCAGCAGTTCCAGCAGCAAGATATTGTTTGTGGTGCTATGAATGTAACATCTGTCCCGTCGCCACCTGCGCCACCGCCTCCGGTTTCGAAATCCAGTGAGTGGTAGAATAGATAAAAAAATTATATTAAACTTCCTGAAGGAAAAATATCATAGGCCTAGAAAAATGGATAAATTATTATAAAATTAATTATAAAAAATCATGAAAGTTTGACATAATGGGTCGATAAATTACCTAAGCAGCTAAATCTCAAATTTTATTAAGTCATCTACCAGTGTTTATTCAACTTTCCTTAAGGCAAAATGTCACTTGCAAGTAGTTTTAAAGTGAAATATTAGCAATATAATAGTTATTATTTAGTGTTGTCTGGAAGCCGCATATTCGATCTTCGATCAAAAATCGAGCGATTTCTTCTATCTGCAAACTCTTCAGAGGATACCATCATTCAGCCACCAGAAAACATCTGCAAAAAGTAAGACATTATTTTTTTTATATTAACGAATGAAAAGAGTAAAGCTCAAAATTAGCATTATATAATATATCTTTTATCTTTTTTAGAACTGTGACGAAAGATGAAGTCGAACGCAGCATGGATCACATCCGCCAAGCACTAGCAGAAACGTCACAGTTGCAGCAGCAGCAAAAGTTGGAGCAGCTCGAGCAGCAGCACCAGCAGATGCTGAAGCAACAGAAATTGGAAGAGCAGCAGCAGCAGCCGCAGCATCAGCAGCTGATGCCACAGCTGGTGCAGCACCAGCGGCAGCCTCACTCCTGGGACGGAGTGCTGAGCAGCAAACAATCCGGTACAGCCGCGTAAGTTAGTTATTTAAGGGGATGGGGCAATAGAATTTTTTTGGAAATTGATACGTTTTGAGGTCCTTAGATCATTTTGAATACTTAGTAAAATATATATGTATGTATGTATGTCTAAATATTTTTTTCAGTACGCTCGAAAATCTTGGGTTAAAATTTCTAGAAGTTTGAAACCAAACGTTACATATGTGTAGTTCGAAAAGACAAATATGTATTTTCAGTTTTTTAACTTCCCGTAGGGTAAGTTATTGTAATGGGCCGAAAATCAGAATTGAAAATTTTTACATTTCTCGACGTTTTGAAGGTTTCTGAACATTTTGGCATACTTCAGAAAAAATGGATGTGTGTGTGTATGTATGTATGGATACAAATTTTCGCCCACGTTTTTGGGCGTACGGATCAACCGATTTGAATGGTTTAAAAAACATTCGATTCCTATTGATAAAGAGATGTGCTGATTAGTTTTTGGTAGAGGCAGGTCCAGCAGGTACGGAGATAACGAGCAAAGAGTGCATGAAATAAAATAGAAGTTTTTGAGAGAACGGAGCTTCCGATTTGAATGATCTAAACAACATTCAATTAGTAATGATTGGGAGAAGGGGTTATTAGTTTTTCGCAAAGGTAGACCCAGCCATTTCGGAGATACAGAGCTAAATGTACAAAAAATGGCAGTTTTTGAGAGAACTAAGCGTCAGATTCAATTGATTCAAAGAACTTTCTGCTTGTTTTCTGCCTGCTTTCTGCAAAATAATTGATTTTGGAAAAAAAAATGTTTCAATTTTTTTTTTTTTTTTAATTTTTTGTATATCGAAAATAATAATTCAGATTTTATTTTTAATTCTGACTATAGTTCTAATATACTTTAAACAAATAATTTCAACTCTGCAATTCAGTTTATATAATTCTTATAAATATTAGACAATGTTACAATATTTATAATGATCTATTTGAAAACATTCATTATTCCTCGAACATTTCGTTACGGTACGGGAAGTTCCAGCAATTTGCCTTAAGGCACGATGCCACCCACCCCACTAGTTTAGTTTTTTTAGTTTGTAAATATTTTAGCAAAATATACATACATACATATGTACATTTTTTGAGATATCAAAAATCTTCAAAAAAAATCAACCCAAAATTTAAGAAATAAAATCCGCAATTTTTTTTAACCATGCTCAAATATTGCACTTTTCAAAAACAATAGTATTTTTTTTAAATTTGATATCGGAAAATATAGTTTTAAGATGATTTTCGATAGAAATGCATCTCTGTCGATAAAATGCAAATCCAAAAAATAATGTATATATATGCGGTGCAAATTTTGAGCATAAAAATACTTATAAATATGTAAACATGTTCTGAAAAAAGTTTTTAAATTGTGATTCGATGATCTTAAGAGAGACAGAGATGAATTTCGACTGAATTAAAAATACAGATGATAGCTTGGACAAATTGGCATACACAGATTTTTATGTTGGAATATATTCTTGATTTCATCAGAATAGCAGATCTTGAATACTGCAGTATAAATATTTTTTCATCAAGAACTCATTTATCTGTGTATGCCAATAGCACCAATTCCACAATTTATCTCTTATCCATTATCTTTTTTTCCTCTCTCGTCATCTCACCAGATCATCGAATTTCGATTTCAAAATACCCCAAAACGAACATGCGGCGGACCTGGCAATGAACGAGGCGGTCGGTGACGTATTAATTTTTTTTACAAAATTTTTCAATTTGAATTAAGTCATTCAAATCGTGTCCGTTTAGTGTGCATTTCGTAATTGTCCGGTTTCAGGTACAGGATCCAGACAAGCTGATGTTCCGACTGGTCGCTTCGATGGTGGTCAGGTACAAGAACAGTTCCAAGAGACTATGAGGGAAAAGAATCAACACTATAATGGTAAATAAGATGAAATAAATAGATGCGACTTGCATGTTTAATGATTTTATCAATTTTTGCTTAGATGGTATATATGCAGGTCTGCAGAACGAGGCAGAATTTGAGATTGAGAATATGTACAGCGTTTCAGGGACTTCCGTCACATTCATCGTACCGCCAAGTCCTTTACGATTTATCACATCCGGTATGATAATTATATTAATTAATATAATTTAAAGAACAACATTGTTTTTTCCAATGCTTTAGAGCACTGCGATGGAAATGGCAAATCTCTAACACTTTCATGATTAGACTTGAAATTTAACTCAATTTTTCTTGAACAGAATCATTTTTGTCCTTATTAACTTCCCGTAGGGTAGTATAGTAATGGGTCGAAAATTGAAAACAAAAATTTTTACATTTCCCGACGTTCTGATGGTTTCTGAACATTTTGGCATACCTCGGAAAAAATGAGTGTGTATGTATGTGTGTGTGTGTGTGTTTGGTATGTCCGCATTTTTTTGTCCACGTTTTCGGGCGCACGGATCAACCGATTTGAATGGTTTAAAAAACATTCGATCCCTATTGATAGGGAGATGTGCAGATTAGTTTTTGGAAAAGGCAGGTCCAGCCGTTACGGAGATACGGAGCAAAGAGTGCAGAAAATACAAATCGAGTTTTTGAGAAAACGGAGTATCGGATCTGAATGATCTAAAAAGCATTCAATTTGTAATGATTTGGAGAAGAGGTGATTAGTTTTTAGCAAAGGCAGGTCCCGCCATTTCGAAGATACATAGCTAAATGTGCAAAAAATGATAGTTTTTGAGTGAACTAAGCGTCCGATTCGAATGATCTAAAAAACTTTCTGCTTGTATTGACAAAACAATTGCTTTTGAGAATGAAAAAATATTACTTTTTTTTATTTGACATAAAATATTTTTGTTTAAATTGATCAAAAATTCAAAAAATAGCACAGTCTAAACGCCACACTGGTACAAATGTTCACCAAATTGCGTTTAGACGATGTACTGAGCATTTTTCAAATTTTGTGAAAACTGTTAAAAATATGAAAATGCCGCCAAGCTAAGCATAAGTGAAAATGTCGCACATAATTATTTGCAAATGCGTTTAGACTGTGACTATACAGAAGCACTTTTTCAATTTTGTGTAAATTAGGCAACTATTTTTTTTTGTTTTGAAATTGAATTCAAAGTGAAATGACGATTGTTAATGTTCTGGAGATAAATTGATTTATGATTTACATTTGATTTGCTCAGATACAACAACATAGCAAAAATAATGAAAGTTACAGTATTTGTAACTTAATAATTAATAATAATAATATATTTGAAAACGTTTAACATTTCTCAAATATTTCATTACGGTACGGGAAGTTCTAGCAATTTGCCTTAAGGCACGATGCTATACACCACTAGTCTTCTTTATTTGATAACTTTCTTCAGTAATTTATTTAATTCCAACATCGTCTTCCCAGATGAGATAAGCACAAAGATGTCAACTGATACATTATTAAATGACCAAACAACATTTGCCAGAGCCTTAAGGGAGAGGAGCGAATCTCCTCGTAACAATGATTCTAGAAGATATCCTGATAACAACCTGCTGCTGGGAAATACAAGACAAGACGAGGATATTCTGATGGGCGATTTGAAAAATGAACAAGTAGTTGGAAAAGGTAAGAAGTCATTTAGATTTCTATGGATCTATAGATCTTAAATTCCCTTTTTTATCTTTTTTTTCAGGTTTGGACGTATTGAACAAATACTTTGATTTAGATGCTTCACAAGTAGACAGAAAGTATTGTTTCGACAATGCCAACAATAAACAACTAGTAGTACACGACGACTTCACAAAAAATAATTGGAATGATGAAAGAAAATCACCAGAACGAATCTCTTTTGATGAAGCCGCTCCTCATACTGGCGAAGTGGATTATTGCAATGATGTCAAGATTATTTATACAAATCAGAAAAGCATTTTTAGGTCAGTTAATGGAAAAAAGATTCACAAAGAATAATCTAAATACGAATTATCAGTATTTCTTTGAAGTAATAGCACACAAGCTAACGAACGTCATTTTATTATTGTGTTGTGTTGTATCAAATCAAGACTTGTAACTTACTCTAGGTCAATTTTTTTTTTAACTTATCCAATTTTATTTTTATTGCTTTTTTTCTGTAGGAGTGAAGATGATTGCAGCAGCAAGCGTTGTCGTTCACCTGAAAAACATTTAGAAAGCCAACAGAAGGAGCAGCAAACAAAACATGCATCACAGCAGCAGGAGCAGCAGGACAAGGACCGAGATGCAAAGGCGGATTATCGAGCCACAGGGGTAAACATTTAATTATTCGTATCTAGTTCCGATGATTTTATATTTATTACTTTCAGGACTATGAACAGCGCAACGAAAACAACCCCTCTTCCAACAATCCAAACAACAATCAATCCAAAAAATCATCCTTCACCAAAAGAGAAAACAATGCAACAGACATCCGACTTGTCTCGGACACCTCTAAACCAGAATTAATGGATCGGCAGAAAAAGCATCGACCATCTACCCGCGCTAAAGTCAAAGAAAAACAACAGTTCTGCGAAGATCCTTTCGACAGAAGACGTGTCCTCCAGCAGCAAGAGAACGCTCAATCCCAGCCGCAACATCATAGACATTTGCAGCAGGTGGCCAGACAGTTGAGGACGGTTCTTAAATGTGGAGTTGCCCAGAATTATGCTCAGTTGAGGGAGCAACACCTGCAGCAGAAGGAAGTGAAGTTGAAGAGTCGAGATGGATCGCCGACTCCGAGCGATGTTACGTGTTCTTCTAAGAATTCTTCGAGGCGACCAGAGACCAGACTTAGAGGTAGAAGATAGTTATTCGTATAGCAGATTAGTTACTGATTTTATGTTTTATTTTTTAGTAAATGAAGGTGCAATTGCAAAACGTCGTTTGCCGGCCAAGTCCAATCAGCAACCCTCTACTCCTCCGATTCCATTGACCATGTTGCGTCCTCCTGTTGCAGAAACAGCATCGTCTGTTGAAAGACAGGGCACTGGCAAAGTGAAAAAACTGCGCAAGCAGATCATAAGGATGCAGAAGGAATTGGATAACGAGCGCAGGTTAGTTAGGTAAATTAGAAAAATATTTATTAACATTCTGAAGAAAACGTTTTTTGGTTTGTTAGTTAGAAAAAATGTGTCAAATTTGATTTTGCATTGACATTTTATCAAAAACGACTGCACGGATTTTAATAATTCACAAGCGGTTCGAAAAAGCTTGATAAGAAAAAAACAATCAATACTTATATTTTATTAGATACAACGAAATTTTGATGCGCGAGTACGACAGAGAAAGTGCAATGTTGCGTCGTCTGCGGAAGAATGGTGCTGTGAAGAACTTGACAAAGAAATGCAAAATTGGTGCACCAGGAGGGTAATTTAAATACATCAACTTAATGACAATAATTATTATCAGTTGCATCCAAGGGTATTCAACAAAATTTATTTGTATTTGTACAGATTGGCCACGGAGCTGCAAGCTTCTTCTGCTTTGCAAAATCAGCAGAATAAAGTAACAGCGCTTGAGAATTCAGTCAACTTTCTTCAGAAGCGTTTGGAGAAACACACACATCGCTCCAGATCCATGTAAGTAATATCAAATTACTCAAATATAGAAATGGATCAAAAAACCAAAATGAAATTTTTTGCACATCTTCACGTTTTTGAGGTTTCTAAAGAACGTTTTGCCATACCTCAGAAAAAATGTATGTGTGTTTGTGTGCAGATATTTTTTGTCGACGATTTCGGGCGTATGGATAAACCGATTTGAAAATTTTAAAAAGCAAACGATTCATATTGATAGGGAGATGTGCTGATTAGTTTTTGGCAAAGGCAGGTCTAGCGGCTTCGGAGAAATGGAGCAAAAAGTGCTAAAAATGTCAGTTTTTAAAAGAACATATCAACCGATTTGAATGATCCAAAAATATTCGATTCGTAATGATGGGTAGAAGTGGTGATTAGTTTTTGGCAAAGGCAAGTCCAGCCGTTTCGGTGATAGGAGCTAAATGTGCAAAAAATAGCAGTTTTTAAGAGAACTAAGCATCCGATTTAAATGATCTAAAAAACCTTCTGCTTGTATTAACAAAACAATTGCTTTAGAGGATAAAAAATTATTACATCTTTTTTTATTTTCCATAAAATATTTTTGTAATTTTGGATTAAAAATTCAAAAAATTGCCCAGGCTAAGCACTGTCTAAGCGCCACTCGAAAATTTTCGAATATTTCATTACGGTACGGGAAGTTCTATCAATTTGCCTTAAGGCACGATGCCATACACCGCTAGTTTTTTTTTTGTTGTTCTTTGTTAACCATTCTTGTTGATAGAAAAAATCGTGACAATTTTGATCACCTTGATAACTTTAAATTGTATCTCACAATTTATAAGGTGTTATAAACTTTTTCAGGTCACCAGGCAAGCCTGGTAAAAGGAGAAGTGCTGAAGGCAATGTCACTTCTCATAGTTCACCGACTAGGCAGTCTAGAAAAAGGACTTCAGGTAAGTCACTGGTTGTAATTGGTATAAAAATATCAAGCAATTTTGAAATCAGTTTAATCATCTGATTATTATCCTGCAGCTGCAAGAAACTCAAGCTCCAAATCTCCCAAATCAGTAATAACTGCTAAATCCAACAAAATACCAAAACATTATTTCCAAGAAGTAGAAGAAGAGGAAGATGAAGATTGTGAACAGCAATTATTTTCTCAAGAAAGCGAAAGAAGCATTGTGCAACAAGACGCCTATATGAAACACTTGATTCATCAGGATGATGACAGAAACAAGAGTAAGTATAAAATACCAATTACCAGACTTCACCTTATCTTAATTATCAATTACCAACAAGTCGGTGTTTTATCATTTTCCTCCAGGAAGAGGCGATACCTTCGGGTTACGAAATGAGGAGGCTCTGGTGTACCAGATGCATTTGCCGAATCCGCAAATGCGGCTGCAGAATCGCAGCGAGGAGTTTGATGAATACGAAGCTTATCATTTGAAGCAGGAGCAGGAAAGGCAACTTCTTCGCAACGAGATGATGAGGGAGGAGTGCTGGCAGCAGCAGCAGAGGATGCAGGAGCACATGGACAGTCTACGGTTTGGCAAAGAGTATCAACACGATGCAGGTGAGGAGAGAATGAAAGTCTGCTCGAACTGAATCTTAAGCTCATGATTTTATTATGTAATATTTTTACAAAAAAAAATTTATGAGAGGTTACTTGTTCTTTCAGGTAAGATGCAGCAGGAAACGATAATGTACGATAGTAGGAATACTGGACAGAGGCATCAGGATGAAGAAAACGTTACTCGTAGAGAAAAGTGGTTAAATCAGGATGGATATCTGATGCAGCAGGAGCGTGATTCAATTGAAGATGTTCGCCAGGATATGTCTGGCTATTGCAGCGAAGATGACGATCGGGGTGCAGTTGTGGGTGAGTAGAAATTAGACAAAATTTTTAGTTAAAATGATGAATGAATGAATTAGTTATAACCGCATCAACGACACGATTATTGGTTTGCACTTGCCACGTCAAACGTTTTCCGAATATATTTTTAGATACCAAACGGAATTACGAAAATCCCTTACCAAGTCTAATGACATCGATGGCATTGACTGCAATGTCGACAAGTCTTGTATTAAAAATGAAACCTGGTCAAACAGACACAAGTTATAAGGAACAGCAATGTTAGTTTCAATAGAAGTGCTGAAGAATATTCTCACTAAACGTTCTTACCATTATTATTACCCTCTTGGCAACTGATTCTTTTTTAACTGATCATCATTTTGAAGAGATCACCGGATTTGTTTTTGATTTAAATTTACCGGATGTGAATGAAACTGTTATTTCTTCTGTACATATATTTGATCACGTTTATTTAACAATATTGTGTGTATGTTAAAATGCATTTATGATAAATATATATGGTGTTTGGTTGTTTTTATTGACAAGGAATTATTGTTAACGAAGTATCATCTTTCATTATCCATATATATATAATATATATATATATATAATTTTAAAATAAATTAATTAATCTCCATACGCTTTTCCAAGTTACAATTTTACTTTCCACAAAATAAAAAAAATACAAATATATCATATAGTGCAATTATATACAAAGTAAACATTTATTTTTTAAACAAACACTTCTGTTATAAATTTATAAAATCTCATCAAATTATTAACAAAGAGTATACATTTTCAAACAATTAACAATTTTCATTCTTTCGGAATGTGTATATCTGGAATAAAATTACAATCCAATACATCATGCAGTCGTGTATGCAAATGCCTTAAATTTTCTTCTACCGAATGCAAATAACCTGAAGCAGACTGCAAAATTATCTGAAATAAATGTAACTTTTAATATTGATTTAAAAGATTATATTCAAGGTTTTGTTGAGTACTTGAGACTGCAATAAATTTCTATCGGCTGTGCTCAACTGCTTTATTGCTTTCGATGTTGTACTTGTGTACACATCTGCAATGCTTTTTCTCAGTTTTTGATTACTTTCACCTGTAAAAGATAACATACTTAAGATATATTTGAATATATACATATATACATACACACACATATATATATATATATATATATATATATTTCGTTCTTACATAATTTTTTATGCAACAGTGTATTATATCGTTTTTCATTCTCATCCAAGTTTTTCACAATTTTGTCTCCTGAAGGAGGTATTTGAAATACAGTCGGGGCCTGGTCATCTATAAAAGATTAAAAATTCTTAAATACTTAGCTAGGGCTTTTTTAAAGATTTATTTATTAATACCGTCAGATTCTGGAGCTTCTCCACTTACTATCGAAAGTTCTGAATATTCTAGTCTGCCTTTCTCATAACTGAAAATCTAAATTTATAAACAATTTAGTTAAGTAACTAAATTAAGTTAATGAGCATTGGTGATAATTTTAAATAATAATTTGGAATAGTCATGGATAGAATGCTTCTTTTTCAACTGAAGCGACATGCTTTATTGAAACACAATATTTGATTTAAAATTTTCTGTATACGATGCATGGATGGCATAATAATATAGCATTGAATTACCAATGTATATTAATATCGATGTTTCGGATTTCTTTTACAATAAGCAAAACATTTGTTTTCTATTTTTTTTAACACTATAGCATAACCTATAAGTCGCAATACAGTCGTACATTTATGTATCAATAAACACATAAAGAAAAACAATAATTTTAATATAATACATTATTTTTAATTTTATTTAAGATGCTAGTAGCATTTAGATATATAAAAATAATTTCTTTTTTCTTATTATTTACCTCATCATCATTATCTGATTCTGATGCTTCTCCCAACACAATGCTCCTCATATGAGACATTATTATAGAAACAAATAAATAATAAATAAACAAACAAATAAAAACAAAAAATAATATTTTTATTTCATAAAGTTTTCTTTAAATTTGTAAAATATCAGAATATCACATTTTATATAAACATAACCAATGTTTTCATTTTACTTGCAAGAACTGTCAAAATATTGACTTTTCTCTATTTACATAAATTTTGCTACGCATGCGCAATTTACTGTGTATGTATATTTTTTAAGCATATCATAGATGGCGGTATAGATTCAAATTCAACGTTTGATTTAAAATATAGTTTCTCTAAATATATTATAAAACTAGTTGGTATTGGTATTTTGCTATCATATTGTAATCAATATTTATCATATATATTAAAATCATATATGTTATATAAAATACCCACGGGTAGAAAAGTATATACAAAAAGCAACAATGAAAAATGTATTCTAAATATTGAAATAAATACTTTTGTCTGTCTTGTCTCTGGTATTTTGCCTTGAGGCAAGTTACATCAACTTCTCGATATGTGTAAATAATTGACTATCCATTGAATATCCATGCATAAATAAATTATTTTATTTGGATCGGAATATTTTCTAAAAGCAAATTTTCACAAATCAATCATTTTTATAATTGAACCGGTTTCCGTAGGACTTTAATGGTTTTAATTAAGACTAAGTACTCTATCGTTATAAAAATTATCTCTATAGTTATAAAAATATCGTTATAAGTAAATCGTCTAATTTTAATTTTAACGTCAAAAAACTACTATTTGATAAATTTTTAAAATTAAACTACTTGTAAGGCCGTAATGTTTCAGTAAGTTTTATAAGACCATGATATTTATCACCAAGAAAAGTTCCATAAAAAACGGCTTATATATTTTGTTCAACAGTTAATTACAAGAAAACGGTTCGGTAGATTATCACCAAAAACTAATCAGTATCATTCCCAACTAATATCATTCTAACAGTTTTTGATTTTTAAAATCGATTCGGTAGCATGATCTTAAATTGGACGAAAAGTTTAACACTTTTTTTCAAATTACAAAGAAACGGCTCGGCAGATCGTCTCACATAACAGACACAAACGATAGTCCTCATTGAGATACATCAAATGGCTTTTGAATTTCTGAAATCGATTCAGGGGTTTTTGAGCAAACGTCAATGAAAAGTCTAATTTGGACAAATGCCAAAAAAACGATATTAATTTTTGCAAACTTTGTCGAATTTTTAAAGCTAAACGAGTCGTCGTAAGGCCGTAATATTTTAGTATGATCTATAAGACTATGGTAATTACCGTCAAAAAAATCATAAAACTCGTCGAAAATATTTTTTAACACTTTTTTTATAAGAAAACGCCCCCCGGCCGATCTTTACCAAAAACTAATCAGCACGATTCCCAATCAATATTTTTCGAACGGTCTTTGAATTTCTAAAATCGATTCAGAATTGCGGGCTAAAACGTGGATGAGAAAAAGTTTATTTTTCTACTATTTATAAGGAAACGGCTTGGCTGATTCTTGCGCAAAGCTGATAAGTAAACGTCAATTTACGGCAAAAATTCTCACATACGCATATTTTTTTCAAATTTGGTTCTATTCGATTCAAATAGGATTTTCTAACGAAAATATAAATAATTCAAAAAACGTTCGATTCGTATTTATAAGCAGACGTGCTGATTAGATTAGAAGGCAGGTCTAGCCGTTCCGAAGATACGGGGCAAAAATTGCCAAAAACGGTAACTCAGTTTTTAAGAGAACGGAGCATTCGCTTTTGATAATTCAAAAAATATTTTACTTTTATTTACAAGATGAAGAACTGTTCAAATTTTTGGGAGGGCAGGTCCAGCGCTTATGAACTCTCAATAAAAATAACTTAAAAAAATGTCATTTGGCGGTCAAAAATATTTATTGGACATATGTATATCGAATTATCACATATTTTATAGAGATTTTAATAATGCGCGCACATTTTGTGTAATTTTTTTTTGGGTACCGTACCAAGATTTTTAATTACGGTACGGAAAGTTTCAGCAAGTTGCCTTAAAGCATGATGCCATACACCACTAGTTTGATTTAACGGAAGGAAAAATCTGCAAATTCGTTAACGTTTTCCTCACTAACGTAACTGTACTTAATTCCGTTAATATGTGCATACAATATAAACTAAAGCTCAAAATTCAATTGTTCTATATTTCAAATTCGCACGTAAATTATTTCGTTCCTCCGATCATACGATTTTGCATAATTGAATTACAAATGTTGAAAATTTGAATTAGAATATTTGCGCGCTAATTAGCCATCATTTTTCAGTGTAGTGGTGGTAGTCTATCGCGTAGGTTCAAGGTTGGTCGCTATGAGTTTGCAAATTTGACAGAAAACATCAGAACTTTCAAAATATTTCGTAATAAAAATAATAAAGTGATACTGAAATTCTAATTCTTTCCACAAACAAACTCACAAATCTGTAACGTATCATTATCTACGATTATTTTAAATTTATTTGAAATGTCATTGAATCAATTAAATTCGTAACCTTGTTTTCAAGAGTGACGTGTAAAACGATATTATAAACACATAGGCCCTCAAAGGGCCAAGATGACCTCAGATATGGACTTGTCGGGACCCGACATATGCAGGGTGTGCCGTTCAGAAGGATTAACAGACCGACCTTTGTTCCATCCTTGTATTTGTACAGGCAGTATAAAATGGATTCATCAAGAATGTCTAATGCAATGGATGCGCTATTCAAGAAAGGAATACTGCGAATTATGCGGACACAGATTCTCCTTCACCCCCATTTATTCCCCAGACATGCCTAGGAGGCTCCCAATACGAGACGTAGCAGGTGGCTTATTGAATTCAGTCGGCACTGCTGTCAAATACTGGTTGCATTACACATTAGTAGCCCTAGCATGGCTCGGTGTTGTACCTCTAGCAGCATACCGTATCTACAGGTGCCTATTCTCCGGGTCCTTGGACTCGGTTTTAACTTTACCTTTAGATATGCTATCCCCTGACAATATAGCCGCTGATGTTTTTCGTGGTTGTTTTGTCGTAACATGCACATTATTTGCATTCATTGGTCTAGTCTGGCTGAGAGAACAGATTCTACACGGTGGTGGCCCCGACTGGTTAGAATTAGGAGATAATAATAATGGAAATGTAAATAATCCTCCAGAACCTGTAATTCCACAACCGAATCCAGAATTTGATCCGGCGATAATTAATGAAATGCATCCTGTAGATGAGCAAATAAATAATGAAGTGCCACCAAATAATGCACCGATTGAAGAACCTGAGCCGGAGGTGGTAGCTAATGCTGATGAGGCTAATTGGAATCCTATGGAATGGGATCGAGCTGCGGAGGAATTGACATGGGAACATCTTTTAGGCCTAGATGGATCTTTAGTGTTTTTAGAACATGTTTTTTGGGTGATTTCTATAAATACATTGTTTATTATTGTTTTTGCTTTTGTACCGTACCATATTGGACGCATAGTCATTGAAAGTTTGGGACTGCTGAAACCTGGATCTGGTCTGTTGCATTTTAATGGATTGATAACTACACTGGTCGGATATTGTATAATTGGAATATTTTTAATCGAATTGCATTCGGCAGCTAAATTATTGGGACTTATAAGACCTAGAAGGATTTTAGGATTGTGCTACATTTATGTCAAGGTAAAGAAATAAATATTTTATCTACTCTACACAATAATTAAGAACTACTTGAAAAATTATATTGTAATGAAAAATATCAAAATATCATAACTTTTTTTTTAGTTTTCTATAGTTATCTATATATTTATATATATAGTTATATATTTCTATAGTTAGTATAGTTTTTTAGTTTTCTATATATAAATCTTGAAATCAATTATAGATTTTAGCGCATGTAAATGCTGCAAGATTTTTATGCTTTATGGGGATATTCTAGTGTAGAGGCATGATATTTGTCATTTTTGAATCATTGTAAAAAATAAGCAATTTTTATACTATCATATTTTCATAAATCCTTTTATTAGCATTACGAGAGTAATTGATTATGATTGCAACTCTCCTAATAATCTGAAATATTAAGAGAACTAGTAGAGCATGGCGTGGTGCCTTAAGGCAAATTGATGGTGCTTCCCGGATCGTAACAAAATGTTCGAAGAATAATAAATATTTTCAAATAAATCATAAATACTGTAAAAATGTTTAATATTTATAAAAATTATATATACTGAATTATACAAAGATAAAATTATTTATTTAAGGTATATAAATGAGCTTCAGAAATTTAGAAAATCAAAATCTGAATTATTTTCGATATAGATTTTTTTTTAATTAAATTTTGCGATAATTTTATTTTTCTAAAAGCAATTGTTTGGTCAACACAAGCAGAAAGTGATTTGAATCATTCAAATCGGATGCTTAGTTCTCTCAAAAACTCCAATTTTTTGCACATTTAGCTCGGTATCTTCGAAATGGCTGGACCTACCTTTGCTAAAAACTAATCACCACTTTTCCTAATCATTACAAATTTAATGTTTTTTCGATCATTCAAATCGGATACTCCATTCTCTCAAAAGCTCAATTTTTGCTTTCTGCACTCTTTGCTCCGTAATTCCGTAACGGCTGGACCTGCCTTGTCTATAAACTAATCAGCACATCTTTTTTTCAATAGGAATCGAATGTTTTTTAAACGTGGACGAAAAATTGCGGTCACACAAAACACACATAGATACACATCCAATTTTTTCTGAGGTATGCCAAAATGTTAAGAAAACCCTGAAACGTAAAGATATGCAAAAGTCTCATTTTCGATTTTTTTGCTAGAACTCATTCTACGGGAACTTAAAAACTAGTAGAGCATGACATCGTGGTTTAAGCCAAATTACTGGAATTTTCCATACAAAAATTTAAATTTTTTAGATAAAATTAGAGTTTTGAAAATTTTGAAATCTAATCATTCCTTTATAGGTATCATTATTATCAGTGGTCGAAATTGGAGTCTTACCACTAGTTTGTGGATGTTGGCTTGACATTTGTTCACTGCCAATGTTTGATGCCTCCTTGAAAGACAGACTGGTCAGTTTCAAAGTGGCACCAGGCACCTCGATGTTCATCCATTGGCTAGTCGGAATGGTGTATGTATACTATTTCGCATCGTTCGTTCTTCTGCTACGAGAAGTTCTTAGGCCTGGTGTATTATGGTTCTTGAGGAACTTGAACGATCCTGATTTCAGTCCGATTCAGGTATAAAACATTTTATCATATTAACCATTGCATAATTTTTTGCATAAGAAGTTGTGGTGTTTTAGGAAATGATACATATGTCGGTGTTGAGACATGCGAGGCGCTTTGTTTGCAGTGCGGAGTGAAATGTGTTGGCCGGCTTTCTTACCTTATGCAGTTGCCGTACATGCTGATGCACAAATTAACGAATTGAGCTTGGAGTTACTTCTGTTACAGGTGTGTAAACTAGATGTATGAAGCATTTTGCCTTATGGCAAGTGCATGAACTTTCCGAAATCTTTATGTTAATTTATGAGTGCTTTATAAGTATACCGAGAAATTATATCACATTATAATGTGAGAATCTATTGCAGATTATTCTATTTTGAATTTTTTTCTATTACACAATGATCACGTGCCTAATACACACGGAGTATTTTCTAAAAACGCGGCCGATTAATTCAGATTTTAATTAATTTTTATAATTCAACTGCTTACCGTGAGGCTATAATATTTTAGTATGTTCAGAAAAAAATTAACCATCAATTACCAAGAAACTGTCTGGCCGATCTTTGTCAAACAACGCGATATACAAATGAAACCTTTCGAATAGTTTTTGATTTTCAAAATCGGTTCAGAATTTTTAGCTAAAACGTTTACGAAAAAATGCACTTTCACTTTTTTGGTAATTTTAAAGAAACTGTTCGGCCGATGGATCGTATAAAATAAACAACGTTAGTGCTTATCAAGTTGCATCGAAAGGCTTTTAAATTTTTGAATTCGGTCCAGCACTTTTTGACGAAACATTGGCCAAAGGCTTGACACATGCTTTTTCCAAATTTGGTATTATTTGATTCAGAGTGACTTGGTACATAGAGAAAACATAAAGTTTGCAGAACGGATTTTCTGGCGAAAATAAACTTTTCCTTCAGGATGTTAAAAAATATATACAAAATTATTAATATATATTTCACACCGTTTTACACTGATGATGGGTTCCATAAAAACTCGTGCAACTCGAAAAATTTACTTCTATATGAAAAAACCGTGCTAAACGAAAATCACTATGAAAAACACATTAAACGAAAAATAAATATCAATATATTTAATATCAAACATATTTAATATTATTTCAATAATGATATAAATTTAAAAAAAAAAATCAAATATAAAAAAACCTATTTTACGCTATCAATTATATATAAACGCTAGGGCGAGTCGGTTTAAAAGTCACTTAGGCGCATATGATCTTGTTTTCGGATTCGGAAAATCAAAATAAGATACTAATAACAAAAACTAATACCAAAAACGATAGATTTTTGCAATTTTTGTATTGTGGACGTCTCATGACAAGTCCCAGAGGGTTGAACCATGGGCATAAAAAGTTAGTGGGGTCAGTCATACATTCGGACTTGATTCTCTAAATGGGTCAAAACGAAAAAAACTTGACCCTAATCTTTGGGCCAATGCACGGAACATCAGAATTCATTTTAGGTATGGGTTTTTCAGCAAAATATCTTATTTTGATCCCAAGTATCCGAAAATGATATGTGTCTAAGCGACTTTTTTTGACCCATGCAAACCGACCCGCTCTAATAAACACTAATTAAATACAATGATGTTTTTGTTTTAGCATTACAAACAAACTAGCTTATGCATATAAAAAACTAGCTGTAAGTGAATTCTGTCTTAAGGCAATTAGGGATCGTGCCCTTAAGGCAAATTGCTGGAACTTCCCGTACCAAAAATTATTATTTTTTAAAAAACGATAACATTTTTGAAAAAATTTTACTTCGAAAAAAATATAGATTTTTAAGAGAGAAAATTATAAATTTGACAAAAAAATACTTTTTTTTAAAAAAAAAAATTTTTTATTGAAAAAAAAATTTTTTTGAGAAAAAAATTTTTCTTTGAAAAATAAAAAAATTTTTTGAAGAAAAATGTTTTCTTTATTTTGACATATTTTGAAATTCTGAACTTTTTTTCAAAGCAATCGCACTGCTTGAACTGCATAGAGACGAAATGTCAAAGCTCGCAGGTGCCGCGCCGCCGTCTAACGCAAAGCATTGGTACGGAAACCCACATAAATGTAAAAAAATTCATACTTATTGTTAAAATCTCTATAAAGTATCTGACAATTTGATGTGCATATGTCTAATGATCATTTTTAACCGCCGCCCGAATGGCATTTTTTTTTACTTTTTTTATTAGATCTCCGAACCGCTAGACCTGCCTTCATGAAAATTTGATCAATTCTACATCTTGTCAATACAAGTAAAATGTTTTTGAATTATTCAATCGGACGCTCCGTTCTCTTAAAAACGGAGGGGACCGTTTTTGGCACTTTTTTGCCCCGATTTTGGAACGGCTGGACCTGCCTTTGCCAAAAAACTAATCAGCACGTCTCCTTATCAATACGAATCGAATGTTTTTTGAATTATTCAAATCGGTTGATCCGTGTTCACGAAATCGTCGACGAAAAATTTGTATCCGCACATACATACACACACGTACATTACATACATACATACATACATACATACATACATACATACATACACACACACACACACACACACACATACATCCATTTTTCTAAGGTATGCCAAAATGTTCAGAAACCTCTGAAACGTAAAGATATATAAAAATTTTTCATTTTCGATTTTTTTGCGATTACTATAACTTACCCTACGGGAAGTTAATTAAGTTTTGATCATAAAATGGTAAGTTTCCATCTTATTCACATATATATTTTCCTAATATATTCGTAACTGTAACATACGTTTTGTTGGTAGAACAATGAAAACGTTTAGATATAAAAAAATTATAGTTTAGTATTTATATTTCGTTTTGTAAGTGCAAAATAATTAAATTATTTAGTTAAAATAAATTATTTTCAAAAAACCGTTGTAAAACGAGTTACCGGGTAAAACGGGGGAAAGGTGTAATTATCTACCCGTCAGAGAAATTTTCGCGAGAAAAATCCGCATCGATAATTGAATGTTTTCTTAACATTCCACTTAGTTATAATTTTATAATTATGTTAGGTAATCTTACCGGCCCTGCTAGAACAATCCCATACCCGCATTGGCTGAAAGCACTAATGCGAACTTGGTGCCGCGGGAGTATCTCATGGGCTGCTAGATTTGAGATCGTATCTACTAGGAGATGAAGGAGATACTATACTAAATACTGAAAATGCTGATAATCCACCTCCTGCACAACCTGCTATTGATCCCGCAGCAGGTCTCGGAGCAGCTCACCAAGCATTAATCCACAGAGATGATCCAATCGGTTACCAGCCTTATGTAAGACCACGATTTTTCGCCCTGAGAATGATCGGTTTATTGATACTTGTTGCGATCAGTTTGGTCCTGGCCAGTCTTGTGGCGTTGACTGTTCCTGTGTGGCTGGGAAGACATGGTATGTGTCTTTGGCTTGTTGGAGGTCCTCCGACCACCGCAGTTGCAACAAAGGCTGGGACAAATCCGAAGGTCCAAGGACGAGTTCATGAGCTGTACACAGCGGCGTGCGGGATGTACTTATGCTGGTTGGGGGCCACGTGCTTTGGCACTTTTGGCCAGTGGTTGCCGCAAGGACGAGCAGCAATTATGCGAAGATTTTAAACAATGGGTCTCTGTCGGAGCGGCGTGTTCTTCTATCAGCTGTGCTGTTACTTGGAGTGATTCCTATGTTATTTGGATTGCTGCTAGAATTTTGTAGTCGTGATGCCTTTACGTGTTCCCTTGGAACAAACAACAAACGTTTTCCTCTGGCAGGATGGGCGTTGGGAGTTTTTGTATACCAAAATAGCGTGCGCCATAACTATGATGGGACCTGATTGGAGTCTCCGAAGAGCCATCGGGAAAGGTATCGAGACGGGATAAGAGAAATAGATATTGTGTTTATAATTCGTGATTTAGCAAGCCCTGTTATCACGAGTTTTTGGATTAGCGTTAGCTGTACCATATGTTGTCGCGCATTCGATAGCGCCCTTGTCATAACAAATAAGCATACTTTAACATTAATTACTAGAAAAATATACCCTTTCCTACTACTAATTTGTCTCGTAGCAGGTATAATTGTATTTCAAGTTAAACAGTTCAAAAAGTTGTACGAACACATAAAGAACGATTAATATCTAGTAGGCCAAAGGCTGTTAACTACGATCACAGAAGGCATCGGATCAAGCTTTAACATCTAGAATTAATTTAATTGATAAATCACTGGCGACTCACTCCATTTATTTTAATGAAATCTTTGAAGCTATTGTACACAAAACTACCCTCTTAGACTGACATATTTTCATACGAATGTATTTTTGCATTCGTTTATAAAAATAGTTTTTGATAAATAATGTAGGATATTAATATAAATATATATATAGGTTTTTACTGTTTTCAAATAAGGATATTTAAAACAGCCAATGACCTAGTGGATACTAAAACGAATGCTCGGATATGAAAAATGATGATGAGATCTATATTAACATTTTGTTAAACTGCAGTAAATTTGAAGAGTTATATATTTTGTATAAATGCATTATGAAATTGTATATTTATTTTTGTTTATTGTAATTTTTTGTATATATTTGAGAACAATATTTGTGGGTTAAAACGGATCTCTTGTGAAACGAAAAATCATTTCATTATGTATAATACAGCACTTTCAGGCTGTTTTATATTCCATTTTGTCAACGGCAAAGTATTATAATCCTCCATCGAATGTAAAGCTAGCATTCATGTCATCGCCTTCACTTCTTATTATTCTTGAACATATCTTGAATTATAGGCTCTGTGTCTATCTCATTGCTCGTGCTGAGGTAAATTGAGACTCGTTTACTGTTTTTATAAACTGGCAGTTGTTGAAGCTGGAGAATTAATTAGTAAGTTCTTAGAATTATCAATATTAATATGTTTCAAATTGATTATTATCTCACCTTTTTGAATACATTTTCAGATTGCAACAACTTATCTTTCTCTTCCAAAAGTCCAAGTTTGCTTTTAATACTTTTTCTCAAAGTATTTTTAGCGGATTGTATACAGGCATGTCCAGACATTTTATTGTTAAATGAAACTGCTGTAAAAATTTCTTGGAATGACCTTTGGTTGATATTAACTTGACCTGTACTGTATATATAGGTCAGACATAAAAACACTGATTAAGATTATAGAATGTAAACATTAGATAAGAAACAAAACAAACATCGATATTCATCAAAACAGTGTAAAGATAGATAAAAGAAGAGTAAAAATACATATCTGAAAGGGAATTATTGTTTTAAACAGGAAATTGAATAAGGTAATCTACATAATATTTTCATATATTTAATATAAAACTAACTCCGAACTTTATTTTATATTACAAATTTATCTTATTTAATTTTAAAACTTTACAAGATAAATTGAGGTTATGTTTTCCACAATATACATCAATGCACAAGTATTACAACAGAACGTTAAATAAATTTTTATTTAATATTTATAACACTTATTCGAGTGAATTAATTAACTCAGAATATAAATTGTATCAATAATTTTCAATTTTATTTGAAGTTTTCATAACATTTGTAAACAGAAACTGTCAAAATATCAAAATGGCATTACAATCAAATAATATTTGGAAATAAATAGAACAAGCGAATAAATTAGTAAACAACAGTATAGCACTCAAACATTCATAAATTATGTTTAATTTAATACAAATATGTTTATATTATATTAATATATTAATTTATTTTATTTAAGTTTAAAGTTTTACTATAATTAATTGAGGTTATGTTCTTCACAATGGACACCAATGTAAATATCTTCTTTTTCATTTAATATTTATTTATTTTTTATAATACTTTAAAGTAAATTTTGTGAATTTAACAAATAAAGAATTTCTACAGAATATAAATAGATGAACTGCAAAATGTCAGGTAAGTTAGATATAAATATAAATATTATAACCTCAATTTCAATGTCAAAATAAATCTTGTCTTTTTGGAAATAAATAGAACAAGCGAATAAATTAGTAAACAACAGTTATAGCACTCAAACATTCATAAATTTGTTTAATTTAATACAAATATGTTTATATTATTAATTAATCTATTAATTTATTTATTTAGTTTAAAGTTTTACTATAATTAATTGAGGTTATGTTCTTCACAATGGGACCCAATGTAAATGTCTTCTTTTTCATTAATATTTATTTATTTTTTATAATACTTTAAAGTAAATTTGTGAATTTAACAAATAAAGAATTTCTACAGAATATAAATAGATGAACTGCAAAATGTCAGGTAAGTTAGATATAATATAAATATTATAACCTCAATTTCAATGTCAAAAAAATCTTGTCTTTTACTTATTTTATTTATCTATTACCCCAGAGCACCATGTGAGATTTGACAAGCTGCTGCTTCCCGATCCAGAAACGTTGAAAAACAAATATCATTCCAAAAAGTGGGACCAAAAGACATATTAGTTCATTTAGGATTCTTACAAATTGACCATCGATACAAAATAACTTTCTGCATCCCCAAATCAACCCTCGACATACCAAATCTGATACCCGATGCAAACAAATGTAGAAGCATAGAATATTCTATTATAGAATTCATCGAAGGTATGAATGAGTACAAATTTATTCTAGATTTCAAAGCAATTTGTGAACACATTGTTGAAGAAGTGATTACTTTGAGTAACTTGGATAATTTTAAAGATATAAGGATTATTTTAAGAGCTACTATCATTGGTAAAGGTAAAGGTACTCCGATGGTTAGGAAAGGAGTTAAATCAGTTGAAGTTATGGAGCACAGTGAATCTGATAGTTGAATATAAGTTGGATATGTGGGAGTATTAGGTTTGATCTCATAAACATGTATTAACGCCTGGTAGTTTTATAAGTTTTTATATAAATATAAGTATTAGTTTATTGTGCTGTAATTTAAAGAAATCTATTGCCTTCTAGATTTTTTTAATAAGTTTTTATTGCAATGTAGATTATAATATCGTACAGAAATATATTATTAAACTGCCTTCATCCATTGTTTATATATAAAATAGAATATAAACATGAATTGATATCATAATTGGCTTTTCAGAAATATTATAAAACTTTCGGCATTTAAAATTTTGATGATGGTGCTGTGGAATTGACAAAAACTTAATTTGTAATAAATTGAGAAGTTGTACTCCTAAGTACTCCGTTGTGTTGAAATAAAATAAATATGAGCAAGGCCAAATATGTATTTATTATTAGTATCAGGTGCACTATAGTATTAATTTGAAGACCGAAAATATAATAATTTTTAAAAAATATATTGTTTATGCATAGAAAAAGTAATTTGTGATGTATAGCTTGTGCATGGTAAATTGTTTAAAAATTAAAAAATGTGATAATACTTATATTTGGTTAAGTAAGTAAATAACTACAAAACTAAATCATAATTAAGTTACTGAATCAATGATTAGTTTACTAAATCATTCTAAAATAGTTGTTTAGTTGATTTAGTCAATTAATTTTTCATACTTCTTTTTAAAGTTTTGAAATTTAAACCGTTTAAACCATAGTTGATTTTGTAATCCACTCTTTGAGTTGTTTTTGTCTGCAGTGGGGTATCTATATGCTCTCTCTATGGACAAAATGATAGTTTTCATACGTCAACCTCATGCACAATTTTTGCGGTTGCATATTGCATCTAACCCAATAAAATGTTTTAGTTAAAATTAAACTGCCGGTTAAATATTATCTTATTTGTTAAATCAGTTTTTGATATTCGAAGCCCTAACAAAGTTTGTGAAAGTATTTCTTATTTATTGGATGTGAGGTAAATTTTGTGCGGTTATTGCAGTTTGCTGTGGTTTGTCACCATTGAAATTTGGCAAGAGAATTTATACAATGCAAATTGTTGTTAAATTGTAAGTAAATTTGGGGAATTGGTTTATTAAAAATATGCAAAATATCGAGCACATCATAATATTAAGATACATATCCTGATTTTATTGTTAGAAATTTGATTTGTAGCATTTTTAGCAAAAAATTGTAAGTTGATAGTTTAGGTTATACAAATAGTATGATGAATCCTCTTCTGTTTTCGTACTTTTGCAAAACTTTAACGTGTTTCTCTCAGAAACTGTATTTTTCAATACGATGCATGATTTCTTGAGTTTTACTGAACTGATTTAATTGAAATTTTCAGAGAATCTTCTTTATAGACTTCTCTCTGGCATATACTAGGCTCATCCCCAAATTTAATTTTTGCTATTTTTTTTAAATTAGAAAAACTCAAAAAAGTGGTAAGAAATTGATCCTTTTTCTTCGAACAGTCACCATCGTGTTTACAAATTATTAACACCATCTTGTCAAAAATTTATTTTTTGTAGATAAACATTCTTTTTTTTTCTTTTCGGATTACTAAGAAGGTTGCAATCATGTACACGTTCATGTGTCTACTTTGTGACACCCCCCACTGCAAACACTGATCATTTTTAAGATCTTTAACTTTTATACTATTGTAACGTTGATATACAAGTTATAAATAAAATAATAATAAAAAAAGTTTATTCCCTGTTGTTTACGATGATTTAAAAAAGACTTATAATTTATGCCTGTAGACTAGAATAACCTCTTAAGCTGAAGTCCAGAAATGTTTCAATAATGTTTTGTTTTTTGTTGGAATTTCTGAGAATTGTTTGTGATAAATAAGTTCTATATTTACTTTTACCAACAATTATCCAACAACAGGTTTACACTATTTTGCATCAAGCCTTCTGGCCATTTTATTCGGTTCCTCTTTAATATAAAAATGTTGAAACTATTTTACCAAAAAGCTTATGGTTTTATTTTTCATTATGTATTTAAAAATATTACTCCAGGTGTAACATAGGTAAGTGATTATCATTATAGATTCCAATAACTATCATAAAATGGGGCCACCCAAACGTGGTGGATACATGAAAGGTGGAGCTTCAGGAAAATATGGTAAGAAACATTAAACACATCTCTATATGTTTCATATAATAAATAATATCTTTTATGAAGGCAAAAAGAAAAGATTTGAGGATGAACCATATTCGACAACTAATATTGTGGAACAAGATGATGATCTACCTGAAACTGATGGTGTTCCTGGTGCAGCCACAAAGGATGCAGAAAAAAATGATGAATCGGTTGTTACAGATGAATACGGAGCTAAGGATTACAGGTAGATAAAATAAATGTTTACATGAATATATTTAAATAACTAGTGGTGTATGGTTTAGTGCTTTAAGGCAAATTGCTGGAACCTCCGGCACCAAAAATTATTTTTTTTTAAAATGATTAAATTTTTTATAAAACTTTGAAAAAATTAGAGTTTGGAGAAATTTTAGATTTTTGAAACAAAGTTGCCTTTTTAGGAAAAAGACTACTTGAAAAAAATATTTTCTTTGTTTTGTAATATTTTGAAAATTTTGAACTTTATTTCAATTTCATTTTCGATTTTAATTAATAATTAATATTGTTTTTAGATCACAAATGGAATTAAAACCAGATAATGCTCCAGGCCTCTTTGGGTTGCCCCGAATGGACATATATTTTTGGAGTCATTCTCGCCGGTTTATAAGCATGCCCATGATTTTCTCATAGCAATTTCAGAACCAGTTTGCAGGTACATATTTTTCATTGTATTATAATTAATATAATGGTATTTATGTAGATTTTTATTATGATTTCTTTACAGGCCAGAACATATCCATGAATACAAATTAACGGCGTACAGTCTTTATGCTGCGGTTTCTGTCGGTTTACAAACTCACGATATTATCGAATATTTAAAACGTCTCAGCAAAACTTCAATACCACAAGGAATATTAGAATTCATACAACTGTGTACGTTGTCTTATGGAAAAGTGAAATTAGTTCTTAAACATAATAAGTAAGTAGGTAAATGTACTCATTAAATTTTAAAATGATCTGTAGTTATTTATCAATCTTTTTTTATTTAGGTATTTTGTTGAAAGTGCTCATCCTGAAGTGTTACAGAAGCTTTTGAAAGATCCTGTGATTCAACAGTGTAGATTAAGGGCGACCGAAGCAGAGGGTGAATTAGATGACGATGGTTTTATAACACAAAAACAAAATGTAAAAGGTGTTACTGCTTTTGGATCGAATAAAGTTGTTGGAAATAATGATGCAGGTAATAAATGAAAATTATATGTTACACAGTATATATTTTATCAACTTATCTGTAGGGTAGGGTGAGTTGTAGAAAGGCAATTATACCGTCCCGGCTTAGCCGGGACAGTTCAGAATTCGCACTTTGTGTCCCGAGTTTTCCTGAAAGCAATATTTGTCCTAGATTCATTTCTTTTATCCCACATTTTTGAAAGTTATAGGTCTAAATTGATTCTTTGCTCTTACTTGATAATAACATTACTACTAATTGAAATGTTATGTACAAGTAGTATGCTTAATATGAAAAAGGTGGGTTAAAAAGTCTTTCACATTCATAACTTTGAACTATTATTTTCAATTTTAAGAAAAATAACAAAAATTGTGAAAATGAACTTCTTGACTGCCTGAAATAAAGAAAATGAATGTGCTAATTATTTTTAATAATTATGAACAAAATTGAAGAAAATTTTATAATTTTGGAAGCTAATATAGATCCAAAATATAAGATAAAACATAACATATTCTGATTAAAAAAAAATTACTTTTTTGAAACAGATCGATTTTTATTGAATTACTAAATAGTATTTGTTATTTTAAAAACCTAATTTTTTTAGCTTGTACCAAAGCAAAAACAATTTTTGTTTTATGTTAGATTTTCGAAAAAAAAAAAAAAATATTGATTTCCGAAAAATACTTTGGAATAAAATAAAATAATTCGGATTTTAATTTTAATTCAAGCTAAAATTTTAAAGCTCACTTTTATTTATAAAATATATTATTTAATCTTTGCTATTCAGTTTATATAATTCTTAGATATGTGAGATAAGATCCTTTGTTCCAAATTTGACATATATGAATATTATCGTTCAATTTATAAGCTCCTATAATTTATCTAGAAAATATGAATAATGAAAGTTACAGTATTCAAATAATCTATTTGAAAACATTTAATAAACCTCGAATATTTCATTATGGTATCGCAAGTTCCAGCAATTTGCCTTATGGCTCAATGCCATACACCACTAGTTTTTTATTCTTACTGTATTGTATTTTGATAGTAGAAAAAGTTAAACAATATAATTTTATTACTATTTAGAGAAAGCAAATGGAGAAGGTGAACCCGTACCTGACGACATCGCAAACTTTTATGATAAAATTGACAAAGATGATGACGATGAAGATGAAGCCATGTTAAAAACTGTTTCATTTGAGGTTACTTATTAAACACAATACTAAATCAATTTTTATCTTACAATTCCATCATATTTCAACCGTTCCAGGTGAAGCAGAGTCAAATTGAAGTCATACAAAAACGCTGTATAGAATTGGAGCATCCGCTGTTAGCAGAATACGATTTTAGAAATGACTCTATAAATCCTGACATCAATATTGATCTAAAGGTAATAAACATCTGATAAAATAACAAAACTAGCTGTAAGTGGAATTCTGTCTTAAGGCAATTAAAGCATCGTGCCTTAAGGCAAATTGCTGGAACTTCCCGTACCAAAAATTATTATTTTTTAAAAAACGATTATTTTTGAAAGAATTTTACTTCGAAAAAATAAGATTTGTGAACTTTAAATTGGACAAAAAATTACTTTTTTTGAAAAAAAAAAATTTTTTTTTTTGAAAAAAAAATGTTTTCTTTATTTTTACATATTTTGCAAGATCTAAACTTTTTTTCAAAGCAATCGTACTGCTTTAACTGCATAAAGACGAAATATCAAAGCGCGTAAGCGCCGCGTCGCTGTCTAACGCGTAAATATTGGTACGGAACCCATAGGAATGTAAACAAAATTTATACTTATTGTTAAAATCTCTATAAAATATCTGATAATTTGATGTGCAGATGTCTAATGATCATTTTTGACCGCCAAATGGCTTTTTTTTACTTTTTTCATTAGATCTCCGAAACCGCTAGACCTGCGTTTATGAAAATTTGATCGGTTCTTCACCTTGTCAATACAAGTAAAATGTTTTTTGAATTATCGGACGCTCCGATCTCTTAAAAACTGAGTTACCGTTTTCGGCACTTTTTGTCCCGTATCTTCGGAACGGCTAGACCTGCCTTCGCCAAAAACTAATCAGCACGTCTCCTTATCAATACGAATCGAATGTTTTTTGAATTATTCAAATCGGTTGATCGGTGCTCCCGAAATCGTCGACGAAAATTTGTATCCGCACATACATACACACACGTATATACATACATACATACACATACACACATACATCCATTTTTTCTAAGGTATGCCAAAATATTCAGAAACCTTTGAAACGTGGAGAAATGCAAAAATTTTCATTTTCGATTTTTTTGCGATTACTATAACTTGCCCTACGGGAAGTTAAAAATATTATTTTTTTGTATTAATTTTGTATTTTGTTTTAGCCAGCAGCTGTTTTGCGTCCTTATCAAGAAAAAAGTTTAAGAAAGATGTTTGGAAATGGTAGAGCTCGATCTGGTGTTATTGTTTTACCTTGCGGTGCTGGTAAATCTTTAGTAGGTGCGTCGCAATTATTACTAGATTTTAGTGTATTAATCATAGAATTGAATGATCTACAAGACTTCTTAAATATTTTGATTATGAATTGTCAATTTTATTTTTCTTTCAGGTGTTACTGCATGTTGTACAGTAAGGAAACGAGCCCTTGTATTATGCAACAGTGGTGTGTCTGTTGAACAATGGAAGCAACAGTTTAAAATGTGGTCAACTGCCGATGATAGCATGATTTGTAGGTGAGATATTAGGATAAGGATAAAAAATACATAACTTCAAATGCTCAATTGTAAATATTTTGTAGGTTCACGTCTGAAGCAAAAGATAAGCCAATGGGATGCGGAATTTTAGTCACAACTTATTCTATGATATCGCACTCGCAGAAAAGATCTTGGGAGGCCGAGCAAACCATGAAGTGGTTGCAAGAGCAAGAATGGGGCATCATGGTCCTTGATGAGGTTTATTTATATTTTATTATATTGTATTTTTTGTAGTTAGATGTATGTATGTACATTATCATCAGATGGTCATAGGCAGGGCCGGTCCTGGGGTCCTCAGCAGACGCACGCAATTTTTTTTAGCCGCCCTTCCCACGAAATTTCAATCGTTTTAACCGTTAATCATTAAATATATATATATATATATATATATATATATATATTTACGTAATTTTTTTTGATTGATTTTTAATAAATTAGAATTCAGTACACAATAAATTAGAAATAATCTAAAGGCATATAAAATACATTGATTTTAACTTTATTTAAAACATCGAGGCGATTTGCGGGTCGATCATAATTCAATATTTTTTAATTTTCAATAATTTCTAATGTATGTGTAATAATAATATTTGAGTTTTGAAATATTTTACTTAATAACTTCCCTGAGGAGAAGTTTATGTTTTCATAAAAAAATCTGATTTGCTAATTATATGTTTTCTCGACGTTTGAAGACATTCTGAATCGAATGAGACCAAATTTGGAAAAAGTATGTGTGTGTGTGTGTGTGAAAAGATTTTTTGCCGTAAATCGACGTTTTCTCAAAAACGGCTGGGGCGATTTCGAAAATTTAAAAGCCATTCGATGTATCGTGATGAGGACTAGCATTTATCAATTTTGCGCGACGATCAGCCAAGCCGTTTCTTTGTAAATAGCAGAAAAAACCGTGCTGATGAGTTTTTGGTAGAGATCGGCCGGGCCGTTTTCTTGTAATAAAGTGTTAAAAAAATTTTTTTTTACGATTTTTATTATTTGTTTGACGGTAGATACCATAGTCTTATAGATCATACTAAAATATTACCGCCCTACGATAAGTCGTTTAATTTTAAAAATTCGACAAAGTTTGCAAAATTTAGTAGTTTTTTTGGCATTTGTCAAAATTAGACCTTTCATCGACGTTTGCTTAAAAACGCCTGAACCGATTTCAGAAATTTAAAAACCATTTGATGTGTCTCAATGAGGACTATTATTTATTCGTCAGCTTTGTGCGAAGATCGGCTGAGCCGTTTCTTTGTAAATTGGAAAAAAGTGTTAACTTTTCGTCCACATTTAAGCACATACTACCAAATCTATTTTAAAAAATCACAAACTGTTCGAAAGTCATTAGTTCTGAATGATACTGATTAGTTTTAGGTGAAAATCTACCGAGCCGTTTTCTTGTAATTAACTGTTGAAAAAAAATTAAGACGATTTTTATGGAACTTTTTTTGGCGATATATATCATGGTCTTATAGAACTTACTGAAATATTACGGTCTTATAGAACTTACTGAAATATTACGGCCTTACGGCAAGTAGTTTAATTCTTAAAATTCATCAAAGTTTGAGAAAATGAATAGTTTTGTTGACGTTCAATAAAATTAAAATTAGATGATTTACTTGGTATAACGATAGATTACTTGGTCTTAATAAACTTACTAAACCATTAACGTTTTTTGGCGATATATATTTATCATGGTCTTATAGAACTTACTGAAATATTACGGCCTTACGACAAATAGTTTAATTTTAAAAATTCATCAAAGTTTGAGAAAATGAGTAGTTTTTTTGACGTCTGTTAAAATTAAAATTATATGATTTACTTGGTATAACGACAGTAGTACTTGGTCTTAATGAACATACTAAAGTCCTGCGGAAACTGGTTCAATTATAAAAAAATATTGATTTGTGAAAATTTGCTTTTAGAAAACACTTCGAGTTAACGTATTCGTTCGTTTTCAATTATGTGTAATAAATCCACTCGGAATACTATACTAATTACTCATAAATTAGTTTATTTTCTATTGATTAGGTCAATTATTCACACATATCGGGAAGTTCATGTAACTTGCTTCAAGGCAAAATACCAATACCAACTAGTTTATTATGCGATTTATTCTATTCAGCAAATCATGCGAATGGAGCAAAAAAAACTAGCCTTTCATTTTTAGAAATAACACTCATATTCCATGTTGGATATTTTAAATTTTAATTTAATTCAATTATTCAATATTTACAGTATCCAAAATTGCTTCTTTAGGTTTTTTTTTTTAATCAATTTCAATTTTGCTGTTTTTTTCCAGGTACACACAATTCCTGCTAAAATGTTCAGAAGAGTCTTGACCATAGTCCAGAGTCATTGCAAATTGGGTCTTACAGCAACATTGCTTCGTGAGGACGACAAAATTGCCGATTTGAATTTTCTTATCGGTCCTAAACTGTACGAGGCGAATTGGTTGGAATTGCAAAAACGTGGATTCATTGCTCGAGTACAATGTGCTGAAGTTTGGTGTCCGATGAGCCCAGAGTTTTATCGAGAGTATCTCATGTGCAAAACATCAAAAAAATTGTTGCTTTATGTAATGAATCCTCAGAAATTCAGGTAACGGACTAGATTATAATTAATAATTATTAATACTACAATTACAATATATTCTATATGATAATTACAACTTTTATAATTATTTTTGCTTCCAGATGTTGTCAATTTTTAATCAGGTATCACGAACGAAGAGGTGATAAAACGATTGTCTTCAGTGACAATGTTTTTGCCCTCAAACACTATGCTATAAAAATGAATAAACCTTATATTTATGGTCCTACTTCACAAAATGAAAGAATACAAATTCTACAGAATTTTAAATTCAATCCAAAAGTGAACACTATATTTGTGAGCAAAGTTGCTGATACTAGTTTTGATTTGCCGGATGCTAATGTGCTGATACAGATTTCTTCACATGGTGGTTCGAGGAGGCAGGAAGCTCAGAGATTGGGTAATGAGGATAAATAATTTTATTACTTTATTTTAAATAGTTTTATATTATTACTATTTATAATGCTTGAATTGTTCTAATTCTTATTTTAGGTCGTATCTTGCGTGCAAAGAAAGGTGCGATTGCAGAAGAGTATAATGCATTTTTCTACACACTCGTTTCGCAAGACACAATGGAAATGAATTATTCAAGAAAAAGACAAAGATTTCTTGTCAACCAAGGTTACAGTTACAAGGTAATAGTATTCTTCTTATTATTACTCATCACATGATGAATAATAATTACGAAATGCATTTTCAAGTTTCAAATTTCGGCTATAAAGTTTTATTAAATATTTGTTTATCTTATTGTTATTAACTTCCCGAAGGCGAAGTTTATGTTTTCATCAAAAAATCCGAATTGCTAATTTTATGTTTTCTCGACGTTTCAAGCCATTCTGAATCGAATGAGACCAAATTTGGAAAAAGTATGTGTGTGTGTGTGTGTGTGTGTGAACAGATTTTTTGCCGTAAATCGACGTTTTCTCAAAAACGGCTGGACCGATTTCAAAAATTTAAAAGCCACTCGATGTATCTCGATGAGGACTATTGTTTGTCAATTTTGTCTGACGATCGGCCAAGCAGTTTCTTTATAAATCGCAGAAAAGTGAAAAAATTTTCGTCTACGTTTTAGCCCGCAATTCTGAATCGATTTTGAAAATTCAAAAACCGTTCGAAAGATATTGGTTGGGAATCGTGCTGATTAGTTTTTGGTAGAGATCGGCCGGGCCGTTTTCTTGTAATAAAGTTTTTTAAAAAAAAAAGTTCGACGATTTTTATGATTATTTTTTTGACAGTAGATACCATAGTCTTCTAGATCATACTAAAATATTACGGTCCTACGGCAACTGGTTCAGCTTTAAAAATTCGTCAAAGTTTGCAAAAATTGATATCGTTTTTTTGGCATTTGTCAAAATTAGACTTTTGATCGGCATTTTCTCAAAAACGCCTGAACCGATTTTAGAAATTTAAAAGCCATTTGATGTATTTCGGTGAGGACTATCGTTTGTCAGTTTTGTGCGACGATCTGCCTAGCCGTTTCTTTGCAATTTGAAAAAAAGTGTTAAACTTTTTGTCCACATTTAAGCTAATCCTACCGAACCAATTTTAAAAAATCAAATCATGGTCAAGATATACATCATGGTCTTATAGAACTTACTGTAATATTACGGCCTTACGACAAGTAGTTTGATTTTAAAAATTCATCAAACTTTGCTAAAATTATTATCGTTTTTTTTTTAAAGTAGGATTGATGAAGTATATTATTTACACATTTTTTTTGGATTAAGCCGATTATTTACACATATCGGGAAGTTCATGTAACTTGCCTCAAGGCCAAATACCAATACCAACTAGTTTTAATAATTTGTTCTTCAGGTTATAACGCACCTGGCTGGCATGGATCAAGAGCCTGATATGCTGTATAAAACACGTGAAGAACAAGGACAATTGTTACAGCAGGTTTGTATTTAGCAGAAATACAAAAAATAGCGAATTTGCATAAATTTCATTTTTAAAACCTCCTGAACATTTTGGCATTTAGAAAAAATATGTATATACGTATGTGCGGATATGAATTTTTTTTGTCTACAATTTTATCATTTCTTTCTATCTCAGGTATTAGCTGCCTCCGATATTGATTGTGAAGATGAACGCGTTCCTGGTGAAGTCGGGGGCGCTCCGAAAACCGGAGGATTCAGAAGAATCGGCGGTTTGTCCAGCATGTCTGGTGCTGATGATGCAGTCTACTATGAATATAATAAACGTCGTTCGGAGAACATAAACAAACATCCGCTTTTCAAGAAGTTTAGAGGATGATGTGATGTATAATTTAATTTTGATACAAGTATAACTTTAATAATTAAGTTGAAAATGATGAAGTAAGAATTATTTTGTTGCAAGAGTAGCGATTTAATAATAAAAACTTAACGTGACTATATATATGTATATATTATTGTGATAAGGTTTTTCAGCTACAAGTCGAAAAAATAAAAACAAAGTAAATATTAAATTTTCTTTAATACGTTTAGAGCTATTGTACTAGCTCATCATTCAGCTAAAATACAAAAAAAGTTGAAAATAAAGTAACAAAATAAAATAAAACAGAAATAAAATTAAAATTATACGTACCGAATCAGTTTAAAATTATTTTATATAAAATTTGACTATGATAACATAAATATTTTGTTCTAAAAACAAAAAAATGTGTATATATAGAATTTAAAAAATATAAAATCAAGTAAGCAAAATATTTTGAATTCTGAAAAGAAGAAGAAAAGAAAATATCAAGTGTTAAAAAATTGTTCAAATATTAAAAAAATCAGACTTATATACATTAATTAAATTTTGATAGCTGTCAAAAAGCAAAGAAGAAAAACTTCTCTTATTAACACATTGTGAATTTAAAAAATGAAAATTTTAGTTGTGTTTTATTTTATTTTGTTACTTTATTTTATTATTCTTTTTGTATTTCAGCTGAATGATGATCTAGTACAATAGCTCGAAACGTATTAAAGAAAATTTAATATTTGCTTTCTGTTTTTATTTTTTCGACTTGTGGCTGAAAAACCTTATCACAATATGTTTCAAAGCCGAATTAAACAATATCAATATATATATATATATATATATATATATATATATATATATTAGGGTGGTCCTTAATATGGATATTTTCGAATTTCTTGGCTCCCAAAAAATCTCTAAAAGTTTTAGTTTTCAGAATATATTAATTTGTTATCTATGTTTTCCAGATATAGGATATCCTCATCCTCAAAAACTGTGCAAACAAGCAAAATATTTTTTATACATTAAAACAATTATTTAATTGTTTAAAAATTAGGAATTTAAATTTTTTGTAAATTTCTTGTGAAGCGTCAAAAAATTTTTTTGGGACATTCTATTACTCCCAAAACATAGAAAAGTTTAAAATAATTGTTATAATTTATATGATTATTTATTAAACTTTAGAAGATAATATTAATTAAAATTATAAAATTTTGCATTGTTAATTATTGTAATAAAAATAACAATTAATATTGCAGTTTTATTTCACAAAAGATTGCAAAGATATAATTCAATTTTGTCTGTAAGTCTTATTTTTAATTATTATATTTAATTTTTGTATTTTATTTATATGTGCTCGATATTGTTGTGCATTTATAATTTTATAATATTGTTGTATATTATAATTTTATTATTTCTTATTCTTTGTCTTCTTTTTATTATTCTTTTTAGAGATAAGCCTGGAGAAATACCAGAATGGGGCATAATCGAATTGCAAGGTGATTTAGAGGTTCGTGATGATGCCAAGTTGGATGGGCAATTTATTGGAGACTTACATTATACAAGGACTGGTCAACCGGTAAGATTATACTTTGGTTGATTTATTGTATTTAGCAAAATGAATAATTATACAAATAAAAACATCTCACTCATGACATATGTATATGTATATATATATATATATATATATATATATATATCCGCCTCTGCATTATCCTTCACATTCCAAATATGAGTTTAATGTTTTGCCCGATTATTAATAATACGAATTCGAATAGAATTTTCGAAGATAATTATACCGCTAAATTCTAACATAACATCAAGTAGTATTTTATATTTAGAAATTTGAAAAAAAAATCATTATTCGGATTCTATTAAAAAAGACCTTTCAGATAATATCCAACATGCCATCTAAAATTTTTGAAGTAAAACTTTTGTGCTACAAATTCATAAAAAGTGGTCTAATCACATAGTTAATTTCAGTATTCGCTACAAAATACAAAATGTTTTATATCTTACATATTAAAAAAAAAACAATAATGTTCAACATTTTAATATTATAATTATAATATTACGTTTTTATTGTAATGTAATAATTAACTTCCCGAAGAAGTTTATGTTTTCATCAAAAAATTCGATTCGCTAATGTTATGTTTTCTCCACGTTTCAAGCCATTCTGAATCGAATGAGACCAAATTTGGAAAAAGTATGTGTGTGTGTGTGCATGCATGTGTGTGTGTGTGGGAACAGATTTTCTCAAAAACGGTTGGACCGATTTCAAAAATTTAAAAGCCATTCGATGTATTTCGATGAGGACTAGCGTTTCTGAGTTTTGTGTGACGATCGGCCGAACCGTTTCTTTGTAAATCGCAGAAAAGTGAAAAATTTTTCGTCCACGTTTTAGCCCGCAATTTGGTAGAAATCGGCCGGGCCATTATCTTGTAATAAATTATTATTATTTTTTTGATGGTAGATACCATAGTCTTCTAGATCATACTAAAATATTACGGCCCTACCACAACTCATTTAGCTTTAAAAGTTCATCAAAGTTTGCAAAAATTAGTATCGTTCTTTTGGCATTTGTCAAAATTAGACCTTTGATCGACGTTTTCTCAGAGACGCCTGAACCGATTTCAGAAATTTAAAAGCCATTTGATGTATCTCAATGAGGACTATCGCTTGTCAGTTATGTGAGATGATCTGCCAAACCGTTTCTTTGTAATTTGAAAAAAAGTGTTAAACTTTTCGTCCACATTCAAGCTCATGCTACCGAATCGATTTTAAAAAATCAAAAACTGTTCGAAAGATTTTAGTTGGGAATGATACTGATTAGTTTTAGGTAAAAATCTACCGAGCCGTTTTCTTGTAATTAACTGTTGAAAAAAAAATTTAAGCCGATTTTTGAGGAACTTTTTTGGCGATATTTATCATAGAACTTACTGAAATATTACGGCCTTACGATAAGTAGTATATTTTTAAAAAATTATCAAAGTTTGAGGAAATGATTAGTTTTTTTGACATTTGTTAATATTACAATTAGAGGATTTACTTGGTATAACGATAGTAGTACTTGGTCTAATGAACATACTAAACCATTAAAGTCTTGCGGAAATTGATTCAATTATATAAATTGTTGATTTTTGAATTGCTTTTAGAAAATACTCCGAGTTTTATCGTGTTTGTTCGTTTTCAATTATGTGTAATAAATTCACTCGGAATACTTTTAGTCACTCATAAATTAATTTATTTTTTATTGATTAAGTCGTTTATTTACACATATCGGGAAGTTTATGTAACTTGCCTCAAGGCAAAATACCAATACCAACTAGATTTTTTATGAAAATTTATTAAATGTGAAAAACCATAGTCTTTGATTTTTTTAACAAGATTTGAATTGAGTGAAAGTGTACATTTTTAAAAAATCATCGAAAAAAAATTGAAAACGAAAATTTGAAAAATGAAATTCTAAAAAAAATTGTAGAAAAGATTTAAAAAAAATGTTAACATGTTTGAATTGAGCGAAAAACCATGGACAATCTTTGATTTTTTTTTTAACAAGATTGAATTGAGTGAAAATGTAGATTTTTTGAAAAATAATTGACAAAAAAATTTTAGAATTTTTTTTTCAGAAAAATTAATCCTTAGGATTTTTATTTCATTTTTATTTTATTCTATATATATTTGTATTATCATTATTATTTTTATATTTTTATATCCATTATTTTTATTTTCTCATCTATTTTTGTTTTTTTTTTATATTTACATCATATTTTTAATTACATTTTCAGTCGTAGTTTTATTTAGATCTATATTAAATATAAAATATATTCTATTTTTATCACAGATTCTCATAATCGGTCACCACATTTTGCAAGGTAAAGAGCAGACGATGGACGAGCCTTTTGCTCTTCTTGAAAAGAAGACTGTTCATAGTGAAGCGGATACTCCTGCAGAAATAAGTAGAACTATTGATGATTCAGTGCTCGAAGCCTCCAATACAAGCATAAACACTTCGCTCAGTTCCAATCGTACTGTTCTGGATTCCACGCTTGCCATAGAGGAGAAAAGTAAAAGTAATGTTTGTTATGTTGTTAAAGCTTTGATTAAAAAGAAATTGGTGTTCAAGACCAGGCCAAAGCCCATTATTGCTAATGTTCCCAAAAATGTTTGATTTTAATTGTGTTTTCATTTTTGTTTAATTTAAGACTGTTAAAACTTTTCATGTCAATATTTTCATAATAAACTTGTAACTGATTAAGTAAACATAATTTGATTATTACTGATTTATAATAAACTAAACACCTTTATTAACTTCCCGAAGGAGAAGTTTGTTTTCATCAAAAAATCTGAATCGCTAATTTTATGTTTTCTCCTGGACGTTTCAAGCCATTCTGAATCGATTGAGACCAAATTTAAAAAAAGTATGTGTGTGTGTGTGAACAGACTTTTTGCCGTAAATCGACGTTTTCTCGAAAACGGCCGGACCGATTTCAAAATTTAAAAGCCATTCGATAGATATTGGTTGGGAATCGTGCTGATTAGTTTTTGGTAAAGATCGGCCGGGCCGTTTCTTGTAATAAGTTTTTAAAAAAAAAATCGACGATTTTTATGATTTTTTTTTTTGACGGTAGATACCATAGTCTTCTAGTAGATCATATTAAAATATTACGGCTCTATGACAACTCGTTTAATTTTGAAAATTCTTCAAAGTTTGCAAAAATTAGTATCGTTTTTTTGGCATTTGTCAAAATTAGACTTTTGATCGACGTTTTCTCAAAAACGCCTGAACAGATTTCAGAAATTTAAAAGCCATGTATCTCAATGAGGACTATCGTTTGTCAGTTTTGTGGTCTGCCGAGCCGTTTCTTTGTAAATTGAAAAAAAGTGTTAAGCTTTTCGTTCACATTTAACCTCAAACTACCGAAACGATTTTAAAAAATCAAAAACTGTTAGAGAGATATTAGTTGGGAATGATACTGATTAGTTTTAGGTGAAAATCTACCGAGCCGTTTTCTTGTAACTGTTGAAAAAAAAATTAAGACGATGTTTATGGAAGTTTTTTTTCAATCATTTTATTGAAAATTTTGTGTTAGCTCTGACTAAATTATTCCAGCTGTATTTCACGCCGTGCACAACACAAAAGTTTCAGTCGACGTGCTGTCAAATGTGAAAATGTGATGTTTCCCTATTACATCGAAACGATTTTGACGAGATTTTGTATGATATTGAATATTTTTCGTACTAAAAACATTTATGCTACCAGGGAAACAGTCACAATTTGAATTAAAATGGCGCTGTCAAGTGTAAAAGTGTGACTGTTTCCCTATTACATCGAAACGATTTTGACGAGATTTTGTATGATATTGAATATTTTTCGTACTAAAAACATTTATGCTACCAGGGAAACAGTCACAATTTTGAATTAAAATGGCGCTGTCAAATGTAAAAATGTGACTGTTTCCCTATTACATCAAAACGATTCTGACGAGATTTATTTTAATTCATTCGCCATGCAATACAGCTAAGA